ATCAAAGCTACAGCCTCTCCTCCTATCCTCTCTTTTTTAGTTGAGATATACCTAAAATTCATATACCAAAGCCTTAACATTTTAAAGTGTATTTTTCAGTGGTTTTAGTATCTTCACAATGTTGTGCAGCTATTACACTGTCTAATGCCTAAATATTTTCATCATCCTACCAAAAAAATCCATACCTATTAGCAGTCACTTCTCATTCTCCCTTTCCACCAGTTCCTGGAAACCAATAATTTAATATCTGTCTTTCCGGTTTTGCCCTTTTTGGACATTTCATATAAATGGGATCATATAGTATATGGCCTTGCATGTCTGACTTCCTAAATTTAGTGTGATGTTTTCAAGATTTTCTGTGTTGTGGGGTTTATCAGCACATCATTCCTTTGTGTGATTTAATATTTTATTGTGTGATGGACGAAGAGGAGCCCATCATTAGGTTTGATGATTTGCTGGGACTCACAAGACTCAGTGTATAGTCATACCAAAGGCTATGATTTATTACAAAGGAAACAAAGAAAAAGGGATAAAGAAAAAAGGATATGACAGATTCCAAAGGGTCTTTGTCTGACTTCCACCAATTAATTCCCCACAAATTTTGAAAGAAGCAGTAGTAGACTTCTCACTGTTTCTCACTGGTGATTGGCTGGCTGGGATCTTGTAGAATTCCTTTTAGCTTGGGGGTTTGGGGCTCAATAATAGGAAAGTTAAGCTAGCAAATTCTAGATGCAAAGGGTCTTGTCACAGAAGCACATGGGGCTAAGTAATTGAGAAATCAAGAACAAGCTTTTAGGAGTCCTCTCCCATTAGTGTCACGCAGGACATGCTTAGTTCCCCCAGCAACAAGTTGTGAGAACACTTCTTAAATGTCTCCAATCTGGGGAGTTCATTAAAGGCTTAACACCCAGGATTTTATTGGGTATTGGTAGGCTGCTTCTACCTAACGTGTCATATTCTAGACTTCTAGATGGAAAGCAGGTATTCGGCAAAAACCAGCATAAACCAGTATCAACAGTTTAGGCATCATGAATAATCTTGTCATTTAGAGATTGCTAGGTACTCTCCTGAAATTATATTCCCACTTATCAGCCAACCTTATAAGCACATCTTCAGAAGGTAGCAGTCAAGTCTGCTGTGTTAATACCTTTTTGCACATGAGGCTGTACTGTGTTTTGCTTATCCATTCATTTGATACAAATTTGGGTTGTTTTGACTTTTTGGCTTTTTTTTTTTTTAAAGATTTATTTATTTATATATAGAAGAACTGGAGTGTAAGCTAGGGGTGAGAGGATTCACCAGAGACAGAGTGGGGAGTGGAGCAGAACAGGTGGATCTTCTGAAATACTCTGCTAAGGGGAGCAGTGGGCGAGACAGGAGAGGTCTGCTGCACCTTATGTGGATTAGCTCCCTGGCCAGGGATGGAACTCAGGCCTTAGCAGTGTAATGCTGAGGCTCAACCCCTATGCCACCAGGGAGGCCCCTAGCACCATTTTTATTTTATTTTATTTTTTAAGATTTATTTATTTATTTATACAAGAACCGGGGCACAGGCTGATGCGCGGGAGGGTGAGAAGTTTCACCAGAGACAGAGCGGGGAACAGAACAGGCAGACTGACGAAAATACACTGCTGAGGGGAGCAGTGGGCGCGACAAGAGAGGTCTGCTGCGCCATGTGGGACCCTCGCTGGCTGGCTGGGATCGAACCAGCGCTGCAGAGGCTGCGGACAACTTCACAGCGCCGTGCTCAACTGCCTGCGCCACCAGGGGAGGCCCGGCACCATTTTTAAAAGACATTATACTTTTCCCATTGAATTGTTTGGACACCTGTAAGAAAAAACAACGCTGTGTGTCTGCTCTATGCATAGTGTTCTATTCTTGTGATCACCAAGTATGTCAGGCTTTTCCATACACCATACAATTTAGGGATTCTCAAAACTCCAATTAAGTGTCCTATAGATATAGCTCAATTATGAATATACCTCGAGAAAGCATCAGATTCCACAATTAAACTGCCCCCCTACTCAAAATGCCAATTACTAGTCCAGGTTGTAACTTGTGCTTCTGACCAATACCTGTAAATTGGAGGTTCCCACAACCCCCTCTTTAGGTTTGAATAATTTGCTACAGCAGCTCATACAACTCAGAATATATTTTACTTACTGGATTGCCAGTTCATTATAACAGGATATAAATAACACAGGAACAGCCAGATGGGAGAGATGTATAGGGCAAGGTGTGTGGGAAGGGGTGCAGAGCTTTCGTGCTGTTTGTGGGTACACCATCCTCCCAGCACCTTCACATGTTCACCAACCTAGAGGCTCTTCAAACTCCCATCCTTTAGAATTTTTATGGAGGTCCCACTACATTTGGCAGGATTGATTAAATCGTTGGCCATTTCTGACTAATTCAACCTCTCCCCTTCTTGGAAGTAGTTGGGGGTGGCTGAAAGTTCTCACCCTCTAATCATACGTTGGTTCCCCTGGCAACCAGCCCACATCTTTAGAAGCTTACCACAAGTCACCTCATTAATGTAAACTCTGGTGTGATTGAAAGGAACTTGTTATGAATAACAAGGATAACACCTTTATCCCTCTGGAGCTATTTCAGGAACTAAGAATATAGCTAAGTATTATTACAAAAGATGTTCCTATGGCTCTTATATAGAAAATTACTAGGAATAGGGCCTCCCTGCTGGCACAAGGAGTTAAGCACAGCACTGTGAAGCTATCCGCAACCTCTACAGCACAAGTTCAATCCCTGGCTGGCCAAGGAGCTACCCACATGGCGCTGCAGATCTCTCCTGTCTTGCTGCTGCTCCCCTCAGCAGTGTATTTCAGTCAGTCTGCCTGTTCTGTTCCCCACTCTGTCTCTGGTGAATCTTCTCACCCCCCGCACCTCTGGCCTGTATACCAGTTCTTGCATGCATAAATAAATAAATCTTTAAAAAACAAAAGAAAATTATTAGGGACAGTTGATAAGGACAAAATAGATATTTCTTCTAGTTTTGAGCTTTGTGGGTTTTTTTGTTTTTGTTTTATATTGCTTATTGTAAATCACAGTATAACAACACCCTTATTGGCATTCAGTTCCCTGTGAATGCATGTTTTGGACATTCACTTAATTTCACTTATCTGTGTGTTGTTGTGTCAGTACCACAGTGTTGATGACCATAGCATTGTAGGACGCTCAGAATTTAGGAAATGTAAACCCTTCAGCTTTGTTCTTTGCAAGATTCTGAGTCTCTTGTGAATCTATTCAGATTTGAGGATTGGCATTTCAATTTCTGCAGAAAATGCAGCTGAAATTTTGATAGGTATGGAATCTGTAGATTGATATTCAGAGTATTGCCACCTTAGCAATATTAAATCATCCAGTCCCTCAACACAAAATGTGTTTCCATTTATTTAATTGCTTACAGCATTGTTTTTATAGCTTTTCAGTAATTTTAAGGCTAGCACTTATTTGGTCAATATATTCCTAAGTATTTTTTAATATTATAGTAAATGGAATTCTTTTCTAATTTCATTGTGGACTCCGCCGATGTTGCTATTATCATCTAGAGATGTGGTTGGTTTTGCATGTAGGTTTTGTATGTTACAACTTTGCAGTGCTTGTGGTGGATTTCTATGGATTTTCTATATCTATTTGTCATCTGTAAGTAGAGATATTTTAATTCCTTTCCAATTCAGGTGCCTTTTGTTTTTTTCCTCACCTAATTGCCCTGGCTAGAACCTTTAGTTAAATGTTAAATAGAAGTGGCAAGAGATCTTTGCTGATCTTAGGAGGGAACCTTCCAGACTTTTTACCATTATGTATATTAGCTGTGGAGTTTTCTTACTGTATTTTTTAGCTATCAGGCTTTCATGTATATACTTTATCACATCAGACTATTCTTAGTTTGCTCAGTATTGTTGTTGTTGGTTTTTTTTTTTTTTTTTCATGGCAAGGGTATTGGATTTTGTCAAATGTTTGCTCTGTGTCTGTTAAGATTGTCATGTGAATTTTGTTCTGTTGATATGGGTTCTTACTCCATAACTACTTACCACAGACTGGGTGGCTTGTAAAGAATAGACATTCATTTATTACAGTTCTGGAGGCCGTAAGTTCAAGATCATAGCACCGTGAAGGGCATTGCAGACTGTGGGCTTCTGTGCCCATCACATGGTGGAAGTGGGGGAGAGATCTCTTTGGAACCTCTTTTATAAGAGCACTGATCCCTTCCCAAGTCTCCACCACCTAGTGCTATCACATTGGGCATTAGATTTCAACCTAAGAATTTTGGGTCAACACAGATATTTACATCATAGTATATGGTGTATAGCACTGATTTTCATGCATTTAACTACTCTTGAATTTCTAAGATCTAGTCCAGTTGGTCATGGTGTATAATACTTTTTATATGTTACTAGATTCAGTTTGCTGTTACCTGTGAGAGTTTTTTCATCTATATTAATAAAGAATATTGGCCTTGGTTTTCATTTCTTGTGATATCTTTGTCTTCTAGTGTGTTAGGATAATACCGGTCTCACAGAATGAATTGTGAAGTGTTCTCTTGTCTAATTATTGGAAAAGCTTGTGAAGGATTGGCATTAATTCTTCTTTAAACATTTGGTAGAATCCTCCAGATAAGCTTCCTCGTCCTGGGTTTTTCTTTTTAAGAAGATTTTGATTACTAATCAGTTACTTTACTTTTTTATAGGTCTATTAAGATACTGTTTTCTTCTTATATTAGGTTTGGTGGTATGTGTCTTTCTAGAAATGGTCCATCTCATCTAGATTATTTTTGTTGACATTATACGTTTCCTTTTAGCAACAAAAAATTTTACAGACCACTTCTCATATTTTTTGCTATTTTAGATTGAACCTTCTCCCGTTAATCCGTATTTAAAACATTTTAAAATTATGTAATTGTTGTATGTGAAAGCAGCATATTGGGAAACTAGCTTTTAAGAATCACCAAAATTATTTTCATTAATGTTTTATATTTTGTCTTTTAGGATTGTATATTCATCAGACAGAAATATAAAAGACTATGAAGAGGAAGTTCTTAAGAAAAAGATAGTGGAGAGGGGGTTACCACAAAAGAAACAAGACTTCAATTTTCAAAATTGTGTTGACGATGAAGAAAAATCATCCGTGCAGCTCTTAGGTAAAAAATCATCTGATTTTGGGCCTCCCCGGTGGCGCAGCGGTTGAGCGCTGGGTTGCGAGGCTGCCCGCGGCCTCTGCGGCGCCGGTTCGATCCCCGGCTGCTCCCCGGCCACCGGAGGAGGATCCCACATGGTGCGCAGACCTCTCCTGCCACCCGCTGCTCCCCTCAGCAGTGTACTTCGGTCCTTCTGCCTGCTCTGCTCCCCACTGTGGCTCTGGTGAATTCTCTCACCCTCCCGCGCTTCTGACTGTACCCAGTGCATGTATAAACAAAACAAACAAACAAATATAATTAATAAATAAATAAACATGCCTCTATTTAAAAAAAAAAAAAAAAAATCATCTGATTTTTCTTTCCTGAAGCATGAAATTCCAGAGGATATCAGTAATAGAGAGGACAGCTTAATTTCTACTGGTAAAGTATTTTTTAAAGAAAACATTTTAATAAAATTTTATAGAATTGAAAGTAATTATATTTCAATACAATTAGAAGCATACTCAAAAGAAAGCAGCTCTACTGATTATTTCATTTAGTCTCAAATAATCCTAAGAAGTAAGTGGTTACAGACTGATTCTTCTAGAGGAAGACTCTAAGAGAATATAAGTGACTTTCCCAAGGTCACGCAAATAGAGCAGTTGACAGAACTGGTATCTTTTTTTTTTTTTTTTAAAGATTTGTTTATTTATGCATACAAGAACTGGGGTACAGGCCAGAAGTGCAGGAGGGTGAGAGGATTCACCAGAGACAGAGCTGGGAGCAGAACAGGCAGATGGACCAAAAACACTGCTGAGGGGAACAGCGGGCAAGACAGGAGAGGTCTGCTGTGCCATGTGGGTAGCTCCCTGGCTGTCCAGGAATTGAACCCGCACTACAGAGGCTGCAGACAGCTTTACAGCGCTGCCTCAACCCCCTGTGCCACCAGGGAGGCCAGAACTGGTATCTTATACCCATTTTTTCCTGCTTCTAGCAAACTTCACAGCCTCCCATTAAATTGATCTCCCATTAAGTTGTAGTGAAAAGAGCTCATTTGTCCCTCAGTTCCCTCTCTTTCATCTACTTTCTCCATCACTCCATGGAAAAGCCATATGTTCCCCATTAAACGGAATCTTTTGGTCCACATCTTATTTTTTCCATTTTTCATTCTGTCAGTTCCCCCTTCCTCGAGGGTCACTGCCTTCTGTGACATTGTGCTCTTGATTTTCCTTCTTGGCCACACCCCAGTCTCCTTCACTGGCCCTTCATCTTTCTGCCCCATAGGTACCTGGTATTCTCCACTTTTTCTGGGTTTTATATCCAGTCACTGACTGGACATCTCTGTCTATATACAGGCATCCCTCTATTGACTTTATGTGATTTATTGTGATTCACAGATAATTGCCTTGTTTACAAATGGAAAGTTTCTGGCAACCCTGCATTGAGCGAGTTTACTGGCACCATTTTCCCAGCAACATGTGTTCACTTCATGTCTCTGTCACATTTAATTAATGTATATGCATATTATTATTTTTGTGGACATACTGCTGGTGCATAATTAAGACTACAGTGTAGTATAAACATAACTTGTACATGCAGTGGGAAACCAAAATAAGTCATGTGACTCAGTTTATTGCAATATTAGCTTGTTTGTGGTAGTCTGGGACTAAACCCACAACATCTCTGAGGTATGCCAAGATAGCTGAAATATCTTAAAATTTAACCTGTCTCAGACTGACCTAATCTCTGCTTTTCCTAACCTGCTCTTCCTTAAATGCTCTATCAATGTGAATTATGTCACTGTCTTTCTGTTCTCTTACCCTTCATTCTATTCAAGATTGTGTCTGTTGACTTATTTCCTGAATACTTCTTTAGTTTATCCTGGAGCTTTTTCTTTATTTCAGGACTTGGCTATTTTCCTTGAGAATTTGTATTCTGGGTAATTACCAAGCCTTTTATTGTACCACCCTCTGTTTTTATCATATAGAACAGTGTTTGTTAATTGCAAGTCTGACATAGAACTCCCTTTATTAAAATTCTTCAGTAGTCTCCCAAAACCTTAATATAAATCTCAAATCCTTTCCCATAGCATGAAGGGATTTTGTGAGCTGTCTCCTTCCTAGAACTCTTACTTTCTCTCTTTACAACCCCTGAGACCCCAAAAGCACTAACCCTAATGAATATCCTGACATTTCTTTTTTTTTTTAAAGATGTATTTATTTATGCATACAAGAGCTGGGGTACAGGCCAGAGGTGTAGGGGGTGAGAGGATTCACCAGAGACAGAGTGGGGAACAGAACAGGCATATTGACCGAAGTACACTGCTGAGGGGAGCAGTGGGTGAGACAGGAGAGGTCTGCTGCACCATGTGGGTTGCTCCCTGGCTGGCTAGGAATCGAACTCGTGCTGTAGAGGCTGCAGATTGCTTCATAGGTTGCGTCTTAACCCTTGTACCACCAGGGAGGCCCAATAACCTGACATTTCTTCTGTTCCCCCCCACCACCATATTTTGTCACCCCTGTGTGTTTGCACTTGCTATTCTTCCTAATAACTTATCAAAATCACTCATGTTTTGAAGATGTGAAGTAAACAAAACAATAAGGTCCTGTTCAGAAGTTTAGTAGTGGATATAGTCAGGTGGATAATGTACAAAGTGTTATGAGGACGTGTAGAGTACACATATCCTGGACTTTAGGCTTTCAGAGAAAGCTATAGTGGGAGTCCCAAAAAGCAGGAATTAATGAGGCAAAATGAACTTATGGGAGAAGTATTCCAGGCAAGGAAAATAACATTCCTGAAGTCAAAGAGAGTCACATAGCAAATATGAGAGGCGCATAGCAAATAGGAAAACCAGGAATGGTTTGCTCTGTAAGTGGGATGAAGTAGGGGACAAGAATGATAACAGTAAGAGATGAGCCTGGAAGTGTATGCAGAAGTAGATCATGAAGAACCTTATATAAAAGACCTTATATTTTGCAATCCAAAGTGGGACACTTTTGAGAGAACAAAAGGTGAAAAATCATCATTGCTGTTAATAATTATTATGGGGTATTCAGCATTGTCCCAGGCATACCAAGACACAAGGTCACCTTACTCATAAGTCACTTAAGGGGTTTGGATGGTATTGTTTTATAGGCTTAAGGAGGACAAATAAAGCAAATTTAGGATAGAGGAAAACAATCACTTTAGGTTGGAGAACATTGAGTTTTGAGTTGTTATGATTGTATTTTTCCTTTTTTACCCTGACTTTATCTGTGACACCAACTGGGTGTTTTTCCACACACCAATTCTTTGACAGAAACTGGTATCCAACAACTCAATACTGACTTACACAGATCCCACAGATTAAGAGCTAAGTCCACAAGATTGCCCTCACTTCAAATGTAATCACAAATGGAGTAACTAGGAAATGTAAAATGACAAAACTAAAACAATTTAACAAGCAAGTTTGATATCCTTTATTCAAGAAACAGCAATCTATGCATTGGGGGAGTCCAGTGCCTCGCAAGCAGTAGAGCACTCTACTTGAGGAATGTTGGACAAGAGGGATTTTTATAATGTTAGAAGTAGCAACTCAGAAGCAGGAAGTGATTGCTGTTGGATATCTGATCTTATTTAAAAAGACCAAGGAACAGGGAAATAAGTATACAATCCAGCATTGACTTGACATTTGGGGATTGGCTAATTGGATAAAATGCCTTTCTGGTCAAGCAGAACATCTGCAGCAATAAAGTTCAGCTGATGATGTGGCACCGCGCACAAGAGCATCTCTATTTAGCCTAGAAATTTATTTCAGTAAGAGGAAAAGTGGGCCTACCTGGTGGTGCGAGGGGTAAGACACAACCTGCAAAGCTGTCCATAGCCACTGCAGCACGAGTTTGATCCCCAGCCAGGGAGAAACCCACATGGTGAAGCAGACCTCTCCTGTCTCGCCTGCTGCTCCCCTCAGCAGTGTATTTCAGTGGGTCTGCCTATTCTGTTCCCCACTCTGTCTCAGGTGAATCCTCTCACCCCTCCCCCCCCACACCTCTGGCCTGTACCCCAGCTCTTGTATGCATAAATAAATATTTTTAAAAAATAAGAGGAAAAGTTTCTTCTGTTAGAGAACAGAATGGGGGGGCACCCCAGGATCCCCAAGCCTTCCTGCACTAAATGTGTTCTGACATTGCCGCATCAAGACAAACATACCCTTAGTTTATAAGACCTTCAGTAGAAAAGAACTTTAACACAATTAATGTGCAATAGAGAGAAGAGAAAGAATATAGTTAAAATAGTTTCCACATGGAACACCCAAAGTTACCCATCCCCTCATAGGTAAATGCCAGCCAACCAGAGTTGGCCCAAAGCAGGGCCAGAAGGCCAGAAGGCTTACATAAGGCTAAGGCACTTCTGTTGGGGACCCATAGGAAAAGGGCAGAAGAGGCCAGGCAAGTCTGGAAAGAAGAACAAAATAAAAATCCAGTCAAGATAAAGGCTACCAATGTCAGCCTCCCCTCGGACTTTGCACCCACATCTCTTCTAAGTGTCTCCTTCTATGTCTCCCATGTCCCTGGTACAAGTCCAAGGCTGAGAAGCAAACGTGGCCTCTTTTTTCACGTCTCTGCTTCATGTGCCTCCTCCAGGTCGTCTTCTTGCTCTCCTTCCTTCTCCCTGTCCTCTCTAGCTTCTCTTCCCTGCCTAGCTCCACCTTTAGGTGGACCAGGGAACTTGGAACCTCCCCTTTTTTTCTATGGATATCATACTGTATATACACTTCTTCCCTCTTGGATTTTGTAACCAGCCTAAGAACTAAACTAATTAAGATGGATTAAAAGAAGGAAAAATTAAACAATTTTTCAAAACTTACGTTCCCACAGAGAATTTCATAAAGAAATTTCATAAAGAATTAAGACTCGGGCCTCCCCGGTGGCGCAGCGGTTGAGCGCTGGGTTGCGAAGCTGCCCGCAGCCTCTGCAGCGCCGGTTCGATTCCCGGCTGCTCCCCGGCCACCGGAGGAGGGTCCCACATGGCACGCAGACCTCTCCTGCCGCCCGCTGCTCCCCTCAGCAGTGTACTTCGGTCCTTCTGCCTGCTCTGCTCCCCGCTCTGGCTCTGGTGAATTCTCTCACCCTCCCGCGCTTCTGACTGTCCCCAGTGCATGTATAAACAAAAAACAAACGAACAAACAAACAAATAAATAAATAAAACATGCCTCTATAAAAAAAAAAAAAAAAAAAAGAATTAAGACTCAAGAAGATATTCAGATGATAGAAACAAGGAGTTTCGGCCCACAGAGGGTGGAGGCAAATTTTGGGAAGGTGGGGGAAGAAAATGTACAATAAATAAAGATAGTCTTTATTTATTATGCAGACGAGTCAGTGATAAGAGTAGCCTCTTTCTGCTAAGGAGTTATCTTTAAAGATGTAAATTTTCTCTATAAAAGGAAATGTTTGAAAGGAGATGTTTATACTTCAATTTTAGGCAATTAGGGGGAGGTAAAGAGCTTTTCCTGTATTTGCTGATTCTCAGATAACTGTAGTTCATAATCCTTATGCCAAAGTGGCGTATCTCAGGGTGACATACTGTGGTTCCCTTTGCTACACACACTTATGCCAACCAGTTACAAATTTGGGGCATTCTACTAAAACCCCTCACGGTGAGTAACTTGCTAGAATGACTCACAAAACCCAGGACACCATTTCGCCTATGTTTACTGGTTTATTATAAAAGGTACAAATCTGGAACAGCCACTGGAAAAGATGTATAAAACCAGGTATGGAGGTGGGACAGGAAGGAATTAAATAATGAAAAAATATTAAAACTGAAAAATTTTCTAACTTTCTAAGTCAGGTGTTCATGATGTGGCTTTAATTTTGTTGAATAATTTTGTGATATCACCTACATTTAAATTTTTTTTTAATTTTGTGTATATTTATATTTAAAGCTGAATCTATGTTTAAGTGGAAATATATATCACAGAGCAGAAAGTATAGAAGATTCTAAATTTTTATCTTGAATTTAGCACTTACAAATATTCGAATCTCTGCTGTTCCCTCTCAGTAATCAATCTAGATAACTGGAGAAATTGTTTGCTGATACTAGAATACAGAATATTTGACTAACCCTTATAGCCTAACCATATAGATCTAGGGCATCCAGAGGGGGAGGAGTGGGGAGTATTAACAGACTATGGGGGGGGGAACTGGGGGTGCTTTGGTGGGAGAGCTACAGTGTCCATTCCTGAGGGAGAAATCCTATACTGCAAAAAAATGAACAAGGATGTAAAATAATGGACTTTATGAAATAATAATAGTAATAAACTTCTTAAGAAATTTGTTAAAACCCTTAACATTTTTAAAAAAAAGTTTGGATATCTATAATGTAAAAGAAATGCTTTTTTTTTTTTTTTTTTTTTCAAGATAATAATGACTTGGAACCTGCATCTGAGTTGGGAGAAGATTTATTGAAACTTTACGTGAAACCTTGTTGTCCAGATATTGATATTTATGTTGATGGAAAAAGTTTTAAAGCACACAGGTAAATAGTCATGTGACTGATTTGCTAGCTTGGTTTTAACTATAGAGTACAGAAAGGGGTGGCTGGCTATGTTGTTCTAGCACAGTGGTTGTCAAACTCTGATTCCCTTCACAAGGGTTCCATGTGAAGCCTCAGGAGATCTCCAATAGACAGAGATTGGCTACCAGGCAGTGATTTCTGCCTGCAACTTCACACACACACACACAGACACACACAAACACACACGCGTGCATGCACGCCCCAATCAGATCTGTGCACATGTCTTCACACACGCACACGCCTCTGTCAGATCTGTGCACCTGCCTTAGCCAGAGCAGATTCTCTCATCTGCACTTTGCAATGGACATGAACCTAAGATTTCATTATAAGAAAATATTCTGCTGCCTAAAATAGGTTTGAAAGCCACTGTCACAGAAAATATAATTAAATGCAGTTTTCAATTTCACAGGCATTGTTGTGTTGAGAATGATTGTTTCTGCATGAATGACATGTTATGTTCTCTGAATGCATTTTGGCTCAATGTCTCTGATTCAAAATAGATGATTCTCATGAATAGCTTTGATTAGGAGGTTTAATATTTCAATGTACTTTTTAAAAACCATTATTCTGATTTAGAATCTGGTGACTTAGACATTAGATTTCAGATTAAAGCCCTCTGCCTGTTTTTGGTTGGACTTTTTTTTTGCAAGTAACTAAAATCTGCTTGAAAAAAGAAAAAATTATAGTAAGAAATACAGATTTTCTGTTGGAACTCAAGGGAAAGAAGTACAGCTGGGTTTCACAATGGATTCCATTCACAATGGAAAACTGGGAACCCAGACGGTTCTTCGCCCTCCCTCTCATGTGTTCCAAATGGAGTGTTAACTTATTCTGGGGCTCCCTTAAGAGGAAGAACCAGACTATTTGCAACGGCAAGAATCAGTTTTCTAGGTTCACAGGTGCATAGCCCTTAATGAAATCAGCAGTGGGCTTAGATTACAAGATTTACCAGAACGACAATAGTGATGTTTGTGCTCTCACTAATCATACTAAGTCAGGCTTCTTTTGTTGTGTTTTTTTCTTTCTGGCATTTGTACTGTTTTCTTCTATCTCCTCATTTTCAGTTTTGTATGGGTTTTAGTAAGGACAAATTTTCAACTGGCTTTTTTTTTAAAAGATTTATTTATTTATGCATACAAGAGCTGGGGTGCAGGCCAGAGATACGGGGGGTGAGAAGACCCGCCAGAGTTAGAGTGGGGAGCAGAACAGGCGGATCCACTGAAATATACTGCTGAGGGGAGCAGCGGGTGAGACAGGAGAAGTCTGCTGTGCCATGTGGGTCACCTCCCTGGCCGAGGATTGAGCTAGTGCTGCAATGGGGATCGAATTCGTGCTGCAGTGACTGCGGACAGCTCCATAGTGCTGTGTCTTAACCCCTTGCGCCATGAGGAAGGCCCCTCAATTGGCATTTTTGTAGTTGTTGCAGTAGTTGTTGGGAGACTGGTACCAATCAGGGGTCGTGGGTACCAAAGGATCAGCTCCAGCAGAGTCAGGAATTTGAAATTCCTGTTGTGAAGCTTTTCTTTGTGGGGGATGGCAAGTGTTTAGATATTTCGGCCGAGCATGGGGGTGGCAGGTGCTTTGGATGTCTCAGCCTGCAGTTGGGGTGGCAGATGTTTCAGCTGCCTCCGCCTCAACTTTTGTGTGTTCTCTTCTGTGAGGAAGACAGGTGCTCTGACCCACTTCAGGCTGCAGCTGTTTTGTGTTAGGAGCCTCAGATTCGAGCCAATAGTCCTCACTCTGCACTCCCATCTCTGTGGCTCTCCCGCAGTGCAGGTTCCACCCTAGATGCCTGCTGGTGCTCCCTTTTATCTGGTGCAGTGCCCTGTGTTAGGGCCCCTGATGTCATTGGTGCCCAAGTTAATAGCTGTGGGGACTCTGTACCACCGCCACTTTTCCCTCTTGTGGGCTAGCACGTCCCTCTGACCCTTTTTTTATTTTATTTATGCATACAAGAGCTGGAGTGTAGGCCACAGGTGTGTGTATGTGGGGCGGTGGGGGTGGCAAGGAGAGGATTCTCCAGAGACAGAGTGGGGAGCAGAACAGGCAGATCTACTGAAATACACTGCTGAGGGGGGCAGCAGGTAAGACAGGAGAGTTCTGCTATGCCATGTGGGTAGCTCCCAGGCTGGGGATGGAACTCGTGCTGCAGATAGCTTCATAGTGTTGAGACTTAACCCCTTGCACCAGCAGGGAGGCCCTCCCTCTGTCACTTTAAATAAAGTTCACTAAGAGGTTTTCCTACCCCTTTCATTTGGGCTGATGCTTCTATTGTATTTTCTGGTAACCTGTTTTTCCCTTAAGGGTTTCGGCTTTGTTCTGCATCAGTTTTGCTGTGCCTGTCTGGAGGTGAACTTGGACCTTCACTCTCTTGCCATCTTTCTGTGCTCTCCCTGTTTCAATTATTTAATTATATGTGCTCATATATAGAAAAGTCAGTGCAACTAATCCGTAAAGACTAGGATTTATGGTCAGGATTATATTCAGCTTTGGTTTCACATTTTAGTACTATTTAATTTGCTAGTTTAATATATTCAAATTGGTATAGTGTTAGGATCATTTTTTTTTCTTTTATAGTCACTATCTTTCATAGCCCTGACACCCCACTTCCTCCATGATTCTCTCTCCAGTTGCTTTGTCCAGTCTTTATCTTGGTCTCCAGTCCAATACCTGGCGAGGCTTTTTTATGTTGTAAGAATTTGATGCCAGTCACTTGCTTGTGATGGCATGACTAGGCCGAAGAAGTTACTTCCAGCAGAGTAGTTAATAGTGTGTGAAGAGGTTGCCCGCCTATACTTGAATTCACACTTTAACACCTTTAGCTATGTGAGTTTGGGCAAGTCATTTAACCATTCAGTGTTTCAGCATTCTTAGCAAAGGATGGGGATCATAAAAGTGCCCATTTTCTAGAGTGATTGTGAAGGTTAAATTAATTACTACATTTAAGCAACTTTGAACATACCTGACACACAAGTACTATATATACCTGTTTGCTGTCATTATCCAGGTGTTAGGTCTTTGGTACACAATACAAACTTTTGTGTAGATGGTAGCAACACCAGTATGCCAGTGTGCAGACAAATATGGTTGAATCACTGCATGTTCACCTAATCCAAGGAGGAAAGGGACAGCAGTAGGCCTCTTGGCAAAGTCACATTTATTGCCCAGGCCTTTCCCTCTTTTAAGCATAACTTCACCCATCCCCACATATTTGTCCTTGTTTTTTTCCATACTGATCAAAAGAGAAATGAAGAGAACTTATTTTATTTGGTGAAAGGAGGTTGTCATAAAAGGAAGACCCATTAGAATCCATGGATCTCTAATGAATTTGTTCATTTGTTCTATTCCTGTCAATACGTCTCTGAGTATTGTTCCTAGGTCTCTGCTGCACACTGTCCTTAGCTGGGGGGCTCTCTAACTTTACTTTCCTGCATGAATTTCTCTCAGTCACCAGATGGATACCATCTCTGTGATGTTTACTTTTCTCCACTTTTATTTCCTTCTGTCCTCTTCAACCTACCCCAAGTACCTACATGATCCCCATCTTTGCTGATCTCCCATTATAGTTTCATTTATTGTTTTAATATTTTTCTAAGAGAAATTGTATCTGTTACATTTTTAAAATAATGTATGTATTATTCTTCTCTTCCATAATAAGATTCTCTTGTGTTGCTTTTTTGATACCTAATTTTAGCATTGTAAAACTAAGATTTGATAAGCCTTTCCAGAATGTCCTCCTGTTCAGTGCCTGGTATCATACTATTAGTCATTTATTTGTTATTTAAGACATTGTCAAATACTCTCTTAAAATGTAGATTTATGTGAATATTTAGTGAATTGGCACTGAGTCGGGAGGCATGTTCTAGTTTGTGCAATATCCCTAGTTAATTCAGTGTTTTTGGGTACATAGCTAAAAGTATTTTTCCGAAGGGTATAGCTTAATTATTCAGAAATCAGTCATTCTGGGTTTAGATTCTAATTCCACCATTTACTACTTAATGGGAAACTACTTAACTTTCCAGATCTCAAATTTCTATATCTGTAAAAGAAATTATTATTATTATGGTTGTGAGAATTGAATCAAATCATGTTTATCAAGCACTTACCATAATATCTAGCTTATTGCAACTTTCAGTAAATGTTAGTTGCTATAAATACATACTAGGTATCTAGAAAGGAGGTACGTTGTTGCCCTGTCTTATAGTGAAGGTTTGCAAGTTATGGCCCAAATCTGGTCAGTGGTTTCTTTTTGTATATAACAGCAAAATATAAAAAAATAAAAATTATGCAGCAGGCAAAGCCTAGTATACTTAATACCAGATATTTATGACCTGACACTTTAGAGAAAGTTTGTTGTTTCTCTAATATAGAATTGCTAGGAAACTTTAATGAAATAATTGTATTAAAAATTCAGATTATGGGCCTCCCTGGTGACGCAGGCGGTTGAGTGCAGCGCTGTGTAGCTGTCCGCAGCCTCTGCGATGCCGTGGAGCAACCCACATGGCACGATAGACCTCTTCTGTCTTGCCCTCTCCTCCCCTCAGCAGTGTATTTCAGTCAGTCTGCCTGTTCTGTTTCCCACTCTGTCTCTGGTGAATCCTCTCACCCTCCCCCACATCTGGCCTGTACCCCGTTCTTGTATAAATAAATAAATCTTTTAAAAAAATTCAAATTACCATATAATAGTTACTAACTTCTTAATATTAACTACTTTATTAGCGATAAGTAGTCAACCCTTTCCACTTGAGAAACTTAAAATAATAAGAAGTTAGATGTGTAACCACAGAAGGCAAAGGAGTGAAATTCCTTGCTACCAGTGGGAGGTTGCAGTAGGGAACCAAATCATAAGCACTAAGTGCCTGAAAGGAAACAGACCTCCTGGAGTAGTAACTCCTTAACTTGACTAAATCTGCTCTTCAGCTGCTTTCTGTAGAGCATGCTGAAATGCTAGGCAGAACTCTCCAGAAGGCTAGAAGGCTATTCTCAAATATACCTACACATTTCCATTCCTATCAGTGAATTTGTGTCTTTGAAGAGACACTTTGAAGAGATACAACCTCTGTAATGCTATTTGAATTTATTATTTTGATGACAAAACTTAGTAAAATATATAAACCAGCAATACATGAATTATAGAAAGAAAGTTATTCCAGAGAAAACTGAACTAAATGCTTTGGAAAGACTTAATAAGGGAGAGGAACTTTAAAAAATTGCTACTGCGTTCAGTATAGATGAAACAATAGAAAAGTTTAAGAGGGAATTTTAAAAATCTAACCTGATTTTATACTTCAGATTGATTTATTAATGTTTTAATGTTTTCACTTTAAAATAGTTTGAAGTAGGGCCTCCCCGGTGGTGCAGCGGATTGAGCGCAGCACTGTGAAGTGGCCGCAGCCTCTGCAGCACTGGTTCGATTCCTAGCCAGCCAGGGAGAAACCCACATGGCGCGACAGACCTCTCCTGTCTCGCCCGCTGCTCCCCTCAGCAGTGTCTTTGGTCCGTCTGCCTGTTCTGTTCCTTGTCTGTCTCTAGTAAATCCTCTCACCCTCCCGCACATCTGGCCTGTACCCCAGTACTTGTGTAAATAAATAAATCTTTAAAAAACAAAAAAAGTTTGAACTAGAAATTATACACTATATGGGTATAGCTTTTGCAAGAAAGATGAGACTTCAGTGAACCTACATTAAAATAGATTGGATTTGGGGCCTCCCTGTTGGCGCAGGGATTAAGTCTCAGCACTATCAAGCTATCCCCAGCCACAGCTGCTTGAGTTCCATCCCCGGCCAGGGAGCTGACCCACATATAGCACAGCAGACCTCTCCTGTCTCACCCACCGCTCCCCTCAGCAGTGTATTTCTGTTGATCCGATTTTTCTGCTCCCTACTCTGTCTCTGGTGAATCCTCTCAAACCCCCCCACACCCACCTCTGACCTAAACCCCAGTTCTTGTATGCATAAATAAATAAAAATAAATTCTTTCAAAAAAATAGATTGGCTTTATGGTAAAAGATTTATGAATGCATGCATTTTTTAATTAGAATAAAGTGATTAAGACATATACAAATATTTTAAATATTTTTCTTTTTATATTTTTTATTAACCAAACAACTGTCAGTCTTAATTCTGCTGAATAATAGGACATCTACTATACATTACAAATTATTTTTTAACTAAGAAGTCTTCTGAAAGCTGTTGTCCGTGTATGTCCAGAAATTCTCAAGAAAAAGCTAACCTTACTTTTTTAAAGTTTATAGTCTCTAAAACATTTCCAAAGAAATTGTGTGGGTAACAGTGAAAGCTCCAAAAAGTTTGCATTCATTTCTCTGGGTTTAACCCTTATCAGTTATGTGAACTAAAAGGAAAAAAAAAATGTTTCTTCTTTAGAGCTTCCTTGAGTAATCCAGGCCATTAATTTCTAGCTAGAGTAGTGAATCTAGTTCAGCTAACATCAGAAAGTATTGAATAATAGCAAATTAAAGCAAGAGCAAGGGGAAAATTAGGTCATTGCAACAGAGCCAGAAGCAACCTTGTTGGTTGAGATTAAATTTAATCAAAGGAGAAAATAGTTTTTGCATGTTAATGAAATGAAAAACTTGGCAAAGATTTTTTTTTTTTTTTTTTAAGATTTATTTATTTATACAAGCACTGGGTACAGTCAGAAGTGCGGGAGGGTGAGAGAATTCACCAGAGCCAGAGCGGAGAGCAGCAGAACAGGCAACTGATGAAATACACTGCTGAGGGGAGCAGCGGGCGTGGCAGGAGAGATCTGCGTGCCATGTGGGACCCTTGCCAGTGGCCAGGGATCAAACTGGTGCTGCAGAGGCTGCGGGCAGCTTTGCAGCCCAGCACTCAACCGCTGCGCCACCGGGGAGGCCCTTGGCAAAGATTTTTAATACACCATGCTATCTAGTTTATTTTTTAGCTTCTAGTTTGTCTTTTAAACTAGTTTTTAAACCAGTTTATTTCTTAAGCTCAGGCAGGTGTGCTAATAGGAGTATTTTCTAAGTTTTGCCTTAGGATCAGAGTAATAGTTTAAGGCTCAGATGCTTTTAATCTTACTTGGATGGAAATGGCTAGCATCCTGTGTTAGTTCAAGTCTTCTGACAAGCAGACATGAAGATGGGATTAGACTTGCAAGAAATTAGTTGAGGTAAATGCATATGAGAGAACATGGGAGGCTAGATGTAGATCACTTTAATCCAGTTAGGGATTGAGCTGATTCAAATCTGGACTTACTTTCTACTAAGGGCTTGTCTGTTTCACATTCACTTTTCTTCCTAGGGTGTAACCCAGGTGAAATACTGGGGTAAACACCAAAACCTCCCACTTTGATGGACACAAAATTCCATTGTGTATTCCTCAAATTATGATGATTCCCATAGCTACACTGAATTCCTTAACCTCGCGTTGCTGTTAGATTTGGCAATTACCTCAGTGAAAAAAATTGCCTGTATTGACCTCAAACAGATAAAGAACCAATTAGTTCTCCAGCAAAATGGGGTTTATTCAGAAACAACAAAAAGTAGTTAAGAAGTGTAGTTTCATGTGAAAACTCACCAACACTTCCCTAGAACAAAAAGAGAAATCTGTGTATTTTGGAGGGACTGAGGTAAGAGTAAGTAAAGTCCATTAGCGGCAGCTGGAAGTTCAGAGTGCAGAGGCTTTTCATTTGCTGGGTTATGGCATCCTCTCATTGGCTGAGCTTTTGCATAAGGAGCCTCCTCCTTCCTCCCACTGTGGTAGCAAAGCAGCATCACTTTCTGTGGTGTAGTGTGATTTGTACTTACTGTGCATGTGGTCAGAATGCTCTTCTACCTTCCAGGCCTCATTTAAATAAAGGTTTTTGTATATTAATTTTCATACCTCAAATGCTTAGAAAATGCTTGAGTCAGCCATCTCTTCTTTTTTTTTCTAGAGAAGACAAAGTGTATCTATCAATTTATTGATCGATCAATGGATAGTCCATCTTTCCCAACTCTTTTCAGCACTAGGATTGTTCTAAGATAAGCTATAGTAAGCCTTTGCCAGGAAAATACTTGTCTCCCTCTCCCTATCTGCTCTTCACACATCCTCCACTACAATATAACATTGTTCTTGATATCTAATTTACTGTTATATTTCCAGCACCTGTAATAGTGCCTAGCACTAATAGAAATCAATATTTGTTAAATTAAATAAGGAGCCACTTAACATTTTATGAGATAGTAGCATGGAAATCCAAAAGAAAATATCATTTTTGTCATTTTCTCAAATCGAAAGTATAGCAGTTCTTGAGCTTTATTAGGGTGAGTACTGAACTAGAACTTGGCATCTTTAGAGTTCTGGTCTCTTTCTGATTGCTATTATTTATTTATTTAAGATTTTATTTATTTTTGTGTAGAAGAACTAGGGTACAGGCCAGAGGTATGAGGGGGTGAGAGGATTCACCAGAGACAGAGTGGGGAGCAGAACAGGCAGATTGACTGAAATACACTGCTGAGGGGAGCAGTGGGTGAGACAGGTCTGCTGGGCCATATGTGGGTTCCACAGCAGTGATAGCACTGAGACCTAACCCCTAGGCCACTAGAGAGGCCATTATTACTATTCCTTTATGATGTCAAGTAACATCCTTTGGTCTTTATTTTTTCATTTGAAAATGATTTATTATTTGCACACTTGAAACTAGTTTCAATAGTTATTAGAATAAAGAGTATTCAAGGCCTCCATGGTGGTGCAAGGGGTTGAGCACAGAGCTATGAAGCTGTCTGCAGCCTCTACAGCGCGAGTTTGTTCCCCAGCCAGGGTGCTACCCATGTGGCGCAGCACATCTCTTCTGACTCTCCCGCTGCTCTCCTCAGCAGTGTACTTGGGTCTGTCTGCCTATTCTGTTCCCTGCTCTGTCTCTGGTAAATCCTCTCAACTCCCACACCTCTGGCCTGTACCCCAGTTCTTGTAATCATAAATAAATAAATCTTTAAAAAAAATAAAGAGTATTCAAGAGAAAAAAATTAAAAGATTAAAAAGGACATTGGCATTAATGTTTTAATCAAGCACTCAAAATGCTTATGTATAAATATAAGATTATAATTTTTGTTTTAATAATCCTACCAGTGAGTAATAACTAGACAAACTGATCATTATGTTTTAAGAGGTAAAGATGAAGAGTATCATTAAAAATTGCACTTTGCATAGTACATAAATGTTTACCTGTGTTTTCCCCTCTCTTCCCTTTAGGGCCATTTTAAGTGCCAGATCTTGTTATTTTGCTGCAATGCTGAGTGGCTGTTGGGCTGAAAGCTCCCAAGAGCTTACTCTTCAAGGGTAAGCATAATTTTTACAAGGTAGCTTTATGGCAAATGATTGCAAATAATACTTCATACAAAGCACCTTTTATGAACATTCCCTGTATGTTCAGTGAAATGTTTCTGTTGTACAATGTACGTTTTCTCTCTTTTTTTTAAGATTTATTTATTTATGCATACCAGAACTGGGGTGTAGGCCAGAGATGTGGAAGGGCGAGAGGATTTACCAGAGACAGAGTAGGGAGCAGAACAGGCAGATCTACTGAAACACACTGCTGAGGGGAGCAGTGGGCGAGACAGGAGAGGTCTGCTGCGCCTTATGGGTATCTCCCTAGGCGGCCAGAGATCGAACTCATGCTGCAGAGGCTGCTGATAGCTTCCTGTTTTAGACATTTTAAAAAACTCAATTCACTCCAGAAACTGAATCTAATAAAAATTTAATAGGAAAGATAACACTAGTTTGACTTAGAATGTAACTTTTTTTTAATGTATTTTATTTTTTTAAGATTGATTTATTTATTTATACCAGCACTGGGTACAATCAGAAGCGCGGGAGGGTGAGAGAATTCACCAGAGCCAGAGGGGAGAGCAGAGCAGGCAGACTGATGAGGGGAGCAGTGGGCGGCAGGAGAGGTCTGCGCACCATATGGGACCCTCGCCCGGCGGCCGGGGATCGAACCGGCACTGCCGAGGCTGCGGGCAACTTCGCAACCCAGCGCTCAACCGCTGCGCCACCGGGGAGGCCCTTAGATTAGATGTAACTTTTTGACATTCATTAAAAATTATGTGATTCTGTGTAGTGAAGGAAAGGTCAAAGGAAATGTATGATTATGGGATTTTACTCCACAGCAGAGGAAAGTAATTTAGAGATCACATGTCTAATTTTTTCTGGAAGGAATCTCATTTCCTTGTAGATTTACCTTACAATTTTTACTACCTGATACTCATTATCTATACTTTTATTTTTCTCTGCAACTATATTCTGTCCCCAGCAATAATAATACCTTCCAATAACACTTTATGTTTTCCAGGCTTCTTCCACATTTACTATGTCCTTTAATTCTTTTTTTTTTTTTTTAATAGAGGCATGTTTTATTTATTTGTTTGTTTCTTTGTTTTGTTTATACATGCACTGGGTACAGTCAGAAGCACGGGAGGGTGAGAGAATCCACCAGAGCCAGAGCGGGGAGCAGAGCAGGCAGAAGGACCGAAGTACACTGCTGAGGGGAGCAGCGGGCTGCAGGAGAGGTCTGCGCACCATGTGGGACCCTCCTCAGGTGGCCGGGGAGCAGCCGGGGATCGAACCGGCGCCGCAGAGGCCGCGGGCAGCTTCGCAACCCAGCGCTCAACCGCTGCGCCACTGGGGAGGCCCTGTGTCCTTTAATTCTTAAGTCAGTTTTTGAGACTGATGGGTGAAAACACATGTGTACAAATAAGATTGGAGAAATCAAATGTCTTCCCAGGGTCACCTGGTGGATAAGTGCTAATGCTGAATATATACCTATAGTTTGTTGATTTTTAATTCCAAGTCCATTCTACCACAATCACTGAAGCAATTAAAAGTTTCCTGTTGGCATATGTTCTTGAGCTGGCTATTTAAATCAGTGATTTTCAGATTTTGCCCTTAAGGTTCCTCCTAGGTATGTTAGGGAACATGTAGTGTGGGTCTGGGATCTGAGCTGTAGGCTGTTTGGAAAAGAGCACCTCTTCAACCAGAGCTGCTCCAGATAAAACTCTTAGCCGTTTTATGTTGCTAAGATTACCCAGTGAGATTAGCTGTAGGAAAAAGCAAGAAGGATCCTTTGTTCTCACTCTTCCTCTTTACTCTCATTCTTGCCCTCAGATTAAATATTCAAAACACACAGGCTTTTAAAGATGAAGTCTATTTATTAAGAGGTGAGTAGACAGGAAAGAAGTAGTAGATCAACTGCTGGTCTCTGCTCTTATGTAATTGTCCATTTGATTTATGATGGGGTATTAGATATATATTTCCTCTTATAATATGACTTGACTACTGCTCACCAACTTTTGTAACTTGTTTAAGGGAAGCCAAATTGAAGTGGCCAAATTGTTTTCAGAATGTCATCAAAAAAGTACACTGTCCCTTATAATAGTTCCAGGCTCACTCCTCTTACAGGACTTTCCCTTCACTGTAAGGCTCTGCCCCTTACAGATTCATCATACCCACAGTTGCTGTGTCCACCATGGAGGCTCACTCTTACTGGACTGTTCACTATCAGTCCTAATATCTTGGAAATGAGATACATTTCTTTTTGATTCACCTCTTTTATCATGTTTGATAAATCAAGTTTTTCTCATGCTAAAATGAAAGAAGAAAGTATCTTGACAAAATACTGGGTTTTAACTGAATCCTTTATTATTATTACACAATATGTTTTGCCTTTCCCTTTATATCACATATCAAACTGACTGTCTCAGATTGCCACCTACGTAGTAAGCATCGTGATATATAAAGCTGTAAGAAGAATAAAGAATTTAGGAATTTTACTTTTTAAAAAATCACATCTTTTAGAAATGTATATATTGTAACAAAGTACTGTTTAAAACAAATTCTGGGGCCTCCCTGTTAGCTTAGGGGTTAAGTGTCAGTGATACCACTACAGCCTGAGTTTGCTCCCTGGCCAGGGAGCTAACCCACATATGGCACAGCAGACCTCTCCTGTCTTGCCTGCTGTTCCCCTTAGCACTGTATTTCAAATAAATTCACCTGTTCTGCTTCTTGCTCTGTCTCTGATGAATCCTCTCACTCCCCACACCTCTGTCCTATACCCCAGTTCTTCTCCACACACACACTCACACACAAAATTCTGTTTTCACATTAACTCATACTATAAACCTGAGTATTATGTTTGGATGGGTAAGTGGTATATGAGAAATATCATGAACTTTGGTGTCCTTATTGGCAGCCCTATATTATATTCCTAACTTCTTACATACTTTAGGGACATGGCTTACCTTCTCTGAGCTTCCTGAGGTTACTGAAAGGATTAAATGAGATCCAGTAAGGAAAGAACCAGACATAGTGCTTGGTACATAGCCTCATAGACTGTGTAATGCTCATTAATACTTGTCTTTTTCCTCTTTCCTTAAATTAGATTCTTCTCATTTTCTAGAGGCAGAATGGGCTCGAGTGCCTGCTTTCTATGCTCATCACCTCTTTTGGAATTGTGTCCCTGTTGCACATCTGCAGGATGTTTCCTGCAGTAGGCTAGCATGAAATCCTATCTGTTCTATCTGTCCTAACCTAAAAGAACCACAGTGTTTTTAATGAGTGGGTTACTCCAAGATATAATGCACTTATTTTTCAAGAAGGACAATCTTCAGTAAATTGAGGTAGTAATAGTAGAGTCCTTTGATCCTAGTTCTACCTGTGCTCCAGAGTGGGGAAGTGTCAGGTTATATAATTGGGAAGAAATTTCCTGTTCTGGTGGAGAAAAGGAGAAATTTTCCACTTCCTCTAATAGAAAATGAACCACAGCCAGCATTTCTATAAAGAAACCCCACATATTCCCATCTTATATAAATAAAACCTTCCAGTAGGGGCTTGGCTTTAGAGCATAAATTTAGATTTTTCTCATTTCCCTTGGGTGATTCCTGGAACTACTCCAAATTTTCAGGGTGATCTTTTAAAATATTAAATCAGATCATATTTCTCTTCTGACTAAACATTCTTCCATGCTTTTTCTTCGCAATTAGAATTAAACCCAAGCTCTTTACCATAACCTCCAAGGCCCTTTGTGATTTAGCCCAGATTCCTACAACTAAAGTAGACACAGCCTAACTCTCAATTACCATCTCTTAGGTCACCCTGTTGTACTGTCTTCATGGCACTTTCACTATTAAAATAATCTTCTATATATAAACATAAGTATTACATATTTATTGTCCATGTCCTCTCTAGAATATAAGCTTCTTATATTCTCAAAGTCTAGAATAGAACCTGTCAGTCTGCAAATACTGAATGTGAATGAATGAATGAGTCAGTCCTTATGTTACATTAACCCATACATAGTAGTCTGAAATTTTAGGAAGCACATAGACAGCACAGAGACTTTAGTATACTGTGTACGTGATCAGTCTCCAATCTTTGCTCCGTCTCTTCTTACAGGTTTCCTTTTTTTCTGATTCTGAGTGTACATAATGTTTTCATCTCCTACAAGCTTTTATTCTGATTAAATTTAAATGGGAACAGTACTTTAAATCTTTCCATTTAAACTGTGGGATATTGGATAATTTGTTTTTCTAGGTCAATTGCTCAGGTCTTTATAAATACTTTTAGGAAGTACAAATGACTTACATATCACAATGAGAGTGCCATTTAGTAAAACCTCTGTCAAGACAACAGGAAAATGTTTCTTGCTGTTTTTATAGCTATCATATATATTGATACATAGGCTCAAATGTCTAGATTTTGCTATTTATTTTAGTAAAACTACTATTGTTTTTATTATTTTTGCTTAAAATGTGAAATAAAAAACTATTTTTTCAACTTAAATGACCAGTTCTCATTTACATTGATAAGAATAACTCTTGAGGGCCTCCCCTGGTGGCACAGGTGGTTGAGGACCGCGCTGTGAAGCTGTCCGCAGCCTCTACAGCGTGGGTTCGATCCCGGCTGGCTGGTGAGGGTCCCACATGGCATGGCAGACCTCTCCTGTCTCGCCCACTACTCCCCTCAGCAGTTTATTTTGTCAGTCTGCCTGTTCTGTTCCCCACTCTGTCTCTGGTGAATCCTCTCACCCTCCTGCGCATCTGGCCTGTACCCGGGTTCCTGTATAAATAAATAAATCTTAAAAAAAAAAAAGAATATCTCTTGAAACTTTGAGGAAAAGTGTGTGGAGTAGTATACATTCCAGTATTTATGCTAGTGTTTTAGATTAACAAGCTACAGATAATGTGGCATATTTATTCTAATATCAAACCTTGTCATATGCATACAATATAAATAAGCACATTTCAAGATTTTGCTCTTCTTTTCCTAAGTATTAAAGTGAAGATGTAGAGTTTTGAATCAGTAGAAATTTGTCTTTAGCCATCATTGGGGGCCAGCATATATTTATTAAATTAATTGAAGAATATGTACTTTCAACTCAGGGTTCCTCTGAAGGTTTGAGAAGATGCTATAAATACCCTAAAAAGCCATTCATTAAACATTCATCAAACATGTACTGAGCATATATTATTTAAGACCATACAATCAAAGCGAACACTTCTGAGTTCTACTTTGTGAGAACTCCCGTTTCTTTTCTTCTTGCTTTTCTTCTTTTGTTCCTTCAGAAAATGTTAGATACTCTCCTTGATAAACTGTGGGGTTCATAGCAGCACTGTCCCCACCCTGATTCCACTGCAGAACTCCATTAGTAAGTGGAAATTCTTCTGATTCTGAATCGTGCTGACATCCTACTGCTACTAAAAATATGAAGAGTGGGTGCTTTGTTGTTGGGAGAACTGTGGTGACCACACCTGAGGGAGAAATCCTATGTCAAATAATTAACAAGGCTGTAAGAAAAAGATACTTCATTAAAAAAATAAAGAAACCATGGGAACTAGGAGACAGTAGAAAAATATCTTTAAAAAGAAAAACTATAAACCCAGAATTGTATTATTCTATATGCACTGAAAATTTTTGGACTGATAATGAGCTAAATGAAGGAAAATAAGAGAATTTGTCACCAGCAGATCTTCTCTGTAAGAACTGTACGTGGGAGTTGTTCACCTGAAGAGCTAGGATACCAGAAAAAAAACTTGAACCTTCAGGAATAAAGGAAATGCCAGAGAAATGATAATTATCTGAAAGAAAAAAACTATTAAAAATTCCTATTACCATCTATAAAATATGTGTGACTATTAAAAGCAAAATTTTAACATTGTTGAGTAGGATTATCAATGCATGTGGTCATACAGGGGTAGGAATAAAAGAATTTATATTACAGGGAAAAAAATACCAGGAAAAATAAGATCTGGATTCTGTCTAAAAAGAGAAACAAATATGTAAACAAAGATACTACATGTCAGTTTGATAAATGTGATAATGCAAATATATTTAGTATATTGCATAAAAGCCCAGGCTTTGTAGTTCCTCTACCTGAATTTAAATTCCAGTGTAACACTAACAGTTTGACCTTGGGCAAGTTACTTAATTTTTTTTTCTTCTTCTATAAAATGAGACTAATAATAGTATCTACTATTGAGTTGTTATAATGATTAAATGAGCTAACATCTTTAAAAATGCTTATTAATTCAGTGACTGGCACTCAATTAGTGCTAAATAGATTAGTTATTACTTTGTTTAGCTGCATGTTAAATTCAGGGAATTTTTTTTTTTTTTTTTGCTTTGGGGAAATTAAGGAAACAACCAGTAATAAAGAGCCACTTATCCTTTGTCTGAAAGATGGACTAAGTAGAGAGGGAGAGTGTTTTAAACAGAATGAACAGTATGTACTAAGACATGGACACACAAGGAATTTTAAGTCATTCGGTATAGGAAATGAATATTTCACTTATCTTGGAACAGCTGCTAGAGAGAGAGAACCAGAGGTCAGATGTTAAAGAACATTGTACAGCAAGCTAAAGAATTTAGGTTTTTTTATGTAGGCTATGGAGAATTGTTGAAGGGTTTTCAAAGTGAGAGACTATGTCAGATTTATATTTTAGCAAAATCACTCTAACAGCAATGTGGGAAATTGGATGCAGGGAGATTAATGCAGCCATGAAAACTGTATGAGAGGATACTGTTATAGTACAGTGAGAGGAAATGAGAGCTTAGGGGTCTCCCTGGTGACCTAGGAGTTAAGTCTCAGCACCATCACCGCAATGACCTGTGACCTGCGTTCAGTCCCCAGCCACATTGCACAGACCATTGCACAGCAGACCTATCCTGTCTCTCCTGCTGCTCCTTTTAGTGGTGCATTTCAGTAGATCCGCCTGTTCTGCTCCCCACTCTGTCTCTGGTGAATCCTCTTACAACCCCCACCCCACACACCCCCCTCGGCCTACATCCCAATTCTTCTATGCAAAAATAAATAAAATCTTTAAAAAAAAAAATGCAGAGGGCCTCCCCAGTGGAGCAGCAGTTGAGCGCTGGGTTGTGAAGCTGCCCGCAGCCTCTGCAGCACCGGTTTGATTCCCGGCCGCCGGGCAAGGGTCTCACATGGCGCGCAGACCTCTCCTGCTGCCCACTGCTCCACTCAGCAGTGTATTTAGTCAGTCTGCCTGTTCTGTTCTCCCCTCTGGCTCTGGTGAATTCTCTCACCCTCCTGCGCTTCTGACTGTACCCACTGCTTGTATAAATAAATAAATAAATAAATCTTAAAAAAAAATGCAGAAATGAGAGCTTATACAAGGGCAGTAAGAGGAGGAAACAGACAACAAAGGCTGAATTCAAGAGAATTTTGAAATTACAGGGCATAATTAAGGGGGAGATTAAAATGAACCTCAGGCTATGATTTAGGCAATCTAGAAGAAGAATCTAGATGTTTTTGGAGTTTTGAGGAAGGCCCCATGATTAGTGTACTTTCTTCTTGTTTGAAATAAGACAAAAGAATCAACAGATGAAGAAAACATTTCCTTTATGATTGCTAAAAACTGTCAAAGTAGGACCTCCCCCTGTGGCGCAGCGGTTGAGCGCTGGGCTGCGAAGCTGCCCGCAGCCCGTACAGCGCCAGTTCTATCCCCGGCCTCCAGTGAGGGTCCCACATGTAGCGCAGACCTCTCATGCCCCACCCGCTGCTCCCCTCAGCAGTGTATTTTGTCTGTCTGCCTGTTCTGTTCCCTGCTCTGGCTCTGGTGAATTCTCTCACCCTCCTGTGCTTCTGACTGTACCCAGTGCTTGTATAAATAAATAAATAAATATTTTTTAAAAAAAATCTTAAAAAAAAAAAACCTGTCAAAACAGTAATCTCTGCTTTTTTTTCCCACTTCCTTTTTTTTTAAGATTTATTTATTTTTATACAAGAACTGGGGTACAGGTCAGAGGCACAGGAGGTTGAGAGGATTCATCAGAGACAGAGTGGGTAGCAGAACAGGCTGACAGACCAAAAGCACTGCTGAGGGGAACAGCGGGCGAGACAGGAGAGGTCTGCCACACCATGTGGGAATCTCCCTGGCTGACCTGGAATCCAACCCACACTGCAGAGGCTGCAGACAGCTTCACAGCCCTGCGCTCAACCCGCTGTGCCACCGGGGTGGCCCAGTAATACCTGCTTTAAAGCAAAGAACCAGAGTTAACTTGGTTGCTTCATCCCCTCTTAAACAACCCATTTGAGAGAAAGTCTGAATCTGGATAACAAATGCATTTCTTCCCTATCAACCTTTTCCACTGATCCAGCAAAACAAAGGAGAAAAGAAATTTAATTTCCTCGTATCTCAGGTTCCTCCCAGCCAGTGACCATTGGTTGTCTGTCTATCAGGTAATTCACTCCCATGGCACAGAGAAATACAGGGTGAGACTAGATGCTTCAAGTCCTATAATAGTACTGTGAATAAAATAGGAATAATAGAAAGAAGACCAAATTTGGGGTGTTGGGAGAGATTGGAAGAAGGAGGAGGTCATGAATCCAGAGTTTAAGATCCAGTAGTCAGCAGGACATAAAGATTATCTCTCCAGACTATTTCTTTCTTTTGTTTTTTGAAGATTTACTAATTTATGCATACAAGAACTGGGGTAGAGGCCCAATGTGTGGGGGTTGAGAGGATTCACCAGAGACAGAGTGGGGGACAGAACAGGTGGATTGACTGAAATACCCTATGGAGGGGAGCAGCGCCAGGGATCAGACTTATGCTGCAGTGGCTGCGGATAGCTTCATAGTGCTGAGACTTAACCTTTTGTGCCACCAGGGAGGCCCTCCAGACTGTTTTAAGTCATGTCATTACTTTTTTATCTGTATAATGAGGATGTTCATGTACTGAGAGTCATTGGATAGATATTATAAATTTAAAAATCTATATAGCACAACAAGAATCTTTCTAGTGAATTGAGTCGTCCATAAAAGGCTTTAGGCAAGACCAGAGGCAATATTTCAAAGATGTTGAAGAGAAGATTTCTCAGTGAATTGGGAATTACAGAAGATGGTTAACAAATAATTTGATAACATACCAGTAACACTTTAAACTTAAGTAAAATCCCTAGCTGCACTTATACTTTACTTTTAATTCATGGCATAGTTGTATGGATGTTTTTTGAAGAAGGTATTCTTCAGATAAAAGAGAGATTAGAATTTTAAGCTAAAAGTTTAATATAGCAAGCATATTATTGATATCTGCTAAGCCTTAAATACATCTGGATTTGAGCTTAGTTTTCTTTTATTTTTTAGTATAAACCATGTAGAAATGAATATTATGATGCATTTTATATATGGAGGAACTTTGGACTTTCCAGACAATGCTAATGTTGGGTATGTATTACTTTTTAATGATTTCAAATATAAAAGTACTAATATTTAGTGACTTTTGCTTTGTTTAGCTTTATTTCAAAGTGTCAATAAGTAGAAATTTCATTTTTATTGTCTATTTTGCCATATATTGTGTGTGTTTTATGAATATCTCTAAAAATAGAGAAAGGATGATCTGGCAACTCACACTAATAAGATTAAAAAAGTGTTAGATTTAACTTATGTTAGAAGAACATTCATTTTGGAAAATAAATGACATATTTATTAAATAAAATTGAATTTTATCAAATTTTTATCAGCTAAGGGGGTCGGAGGTGGAAAAAAACAAATTTCTAGCAGCTGTTTAACTACCTTATTTTTTAAAACATTTTTTTTTAAACAGCAAAAGAAAAGGAAAAAGAAAAAAATCTTAAAATTATTTTAAGGATACATTTGTCCTGTAGATCAACAATGATGTGATTCTCAAGTACACTGGAGTGAAATGCCATTTAAGTTGCTGAGATCCTACTGAGAGTGAAATTCTAGCTCGCTTTTTTATTTTTTGGATGTCCTCTTTTATTGCTATTCTAATATCAGACAAATGAAAGTTGTTCTTTTAATGTTAAATATTCATCAGTGCCTTTAATTACAAACTGAATAAATATGATTTTGGGGAGAAAGTATCATGAGTCATAGGGACCAAGTACTGAAGTTTTTCCTCCTGGGAACTTATATGTATAACTGTATCATGCTCTCAAGTTTCCTAAAGTACCTAAGTCTGTGTGGATGCTCAGAAATACTTGCCAAATGAAAGAAGCAACAGAAACCTCTGAGTCATGTTGTTTCCACTTTTAGGGTCATTTAAAGTCATTTTCAATGTGATAAGTTTCGATGAATTGTCCTCCCCTTAAGTTTTTATTATACAAATTTGTTGCAAAGAGTTTTATAACTTTTATAGCCTTAGAGGCAGTTTCCTGGATGTTACTGTATAGATCACTGAGTATATAAGGGCATTTAACTGAAACATCTCCAAATTTATTTCTTGTTTTTCTCAATTAATCAAATCATGTGCTAGAGAGTGCTTTCAACTTTTGGCCTATGTCCACTGTGTCTTTTATAATCTATAAGGAGTATCTATTATGTAGGGCAGAAAGTTAGAATTAAAATAATTCAGATTATTCTTTTTTAGAAAAAAAGTTTTATTGAGGTAAAAATTCATATAACATCGTCTTTGTTTCAGGTGTGCAACGTAATAATTCACTATGTCTATACACAGTGAAGTAATCTAGTTACTGTAATCTAGTTCACTATAGGTTACCATACAAAGTTACCGATGTGTGCATGTGAGAGAGAGAGAGAGAGAGATAACTTTTAGGACTTTTTTTTTAAGGTTAATGTATTTATGCATACAAGAGCCAGGGTGCAGGCCAAAGGTGTGGGAGGGTGAGAGGATTCACCAGAGACAAAGTGTGGAGCAGAACAGGCAGATCTACTGAAATACGCTGCTGAAAGGGAGCAGGAGGTAAGACAGGAGAAGTCTGCTGTGCTATGTGGGTCACCTCCCTGGTCGGTGATAGAACTCTTGCTGCAGTGGCTTCGGATAGCTTCATAGTGCTGAGACTTAACCCCTTGCACCACCAGGGAGGCCCCTTAAGATTTACTCTTAAAAGTAAATCTTGGTTGGGCCTCCCCAGTGGCGCAGCGGTTGAGCGCTGGGTTGCGAAGCTGCCCGCAGCCTCTGCAGCGACTGTTCGATCCCTGGCCACTGGAGGAGGGTCCCACATGGCGCGCAGACCTCTCCTGCCGCCCGCTGCTCCCCTCAGCAGTGTGCTTCGGTCCTTCTGCCTGCTCTGCTCTCCGCTCTGGCTCTGGTGAATTCTCTCACCCTCCCGCGCTTCTGACTGTACCCAGTGCATGTATAAACAAAACAAACAAACAAATAAATAAATAAAACATGCCTCTATAAAAAAAAAAAGTATTAAAAAAAAAAAAAAGTAAATCTTGGCAACTTTCTAATATGCAACACAATATTATTGACTATTCTTGCCATACTGTACTTATTTATTACATATCTGGAAGTTTATACTTCTTGACCCTTTTTGCCCTTTAAGATTATTCTTTTGCCTAAATAGATATATATTTTTTAGGAAATTACTGTATAATATGTCTTAGTTTTTAAAGTGAAGAATTAACAGTTTACCTGTTTTTATTTTAGCCAGATACTCAATATGGCTGATATGTATGGACTGGAAGGATTAAAAGAAGTAGCCATCTATGTTTTAAGAAGAGATTACTGTAATTTCTTTCAGAAGGTAATTATTCAGTCTCAGTAATCTTTTACCCAGTGCTGAAAATTGCCCATTATTACCTATTAGATCTTTAATTTTTTTCACAGCCAAAATCTAATTTTAATCATATGCAACTTTGTACAATGACAGAAAATCTGCATTTATAGGAAATAAATACTGACTTGGTATCCAGATACCAAGAAGGTCACAGAAATCTTTTCTGTCTGACCTTTGCTATTCACCATAGTCACCTTCTGAAATTGATATTTTAAGATGATTTTTTTCTAAATCTAGGGGAAAAAAATCATAGTGAATGAATTTTTCATTTTTCCTACTAGATTTTTAATTATGATAGTGAATAGTGCCTAAAATCTTAAAAACATTGTCCATATTACTACTGGGAGCTCTAGTTGAAAGATAATCATGGTATGATGGCTTGAGAAAAATACCAAAATTAATAATCAAAATTAATTCTGATCATTTTAAATAAAATAAAATTGAATTGGGGACTTATTGAAAGGATATAGGCATATCCTCTCATTCAAAAGTGGAATCTCCAGGGTTTGGAACTAAGAAAAAGGAAGTCAGGAACCAGGCTTACCTTCTCCACTTATCAAAGTATATTTATCACAGTGTTTCATCACTTCTTTTCCCAGAAGTATATTTCTCCTTCCTATTGCTTCTCTTTATGTGCTTGGGATTTTATACACTTCTCTTCTACCTATCTCCCAAAGTGAAGTATAAATACTGAGTTTTAAATATAAGTTCATGCAAACATAGATTTATTATCTACAGAAAATCCCATACTATGCATTTGTGCAAATGTCATTTTTTATATTATTCTTCGAGTCTCCATTATTTTAATTTACTCTGTGATTGTAGATTTTTTTTTCCTCTTTGTGCCTTTCTGCATTTTGCAAATTTTCTACAATTATCATGTGCTGCTTTTATAATAAACAAGAAACAAATCTTAACTGTTTACATCAATATTCTTATGTTATTGGGTGCTGGAGGCAAAAATATGCATTTTGGGAATTGTAATTAAGAAATTTTAATTATTCTCATAGCATTTACATTTTTGTAAATTTAGATTTTTGTGGTGGTTGGAACTTTGCTAATTCTCTATAAGTTGAACTGTAACAGAACTGTGAATGGCAGGATCTAGCACCACAACCAGAAAGTTATATCTCAGCTGCCTTTAATCAGCCATTCATTCCAGTCTCTATAAGTAAGGGAACTAGAAGATCAGTCTACAGTGCCCCAGCACTGTAACTGATAAGTGTCAATTAATTTCCCTAAATTTTATCATACAAGTGTGTTGCAAAGATTTTGTAACTTATATATAACCTTGGAGGCATTACATAATATAACCATAGGCATCTATAATCCTCTTCCATAGGAATTTGTGGAAAGTGAAGAATTATGATAAAGGATTTTTCCTTCTCTGTCATCTACTTCTCCCATCTTCCCAGCCAACTGAAAGTTAGAAGGAGAACCAAGCATATCCCAAATAAAAATTAAAGATAGGATCATCTGCAATGAGGAAACATGTCTTCCCATCCCCTAGACAGACATCTACCATATCTGTAAAATCAACTCACTCTTCCATTAAGGAAGAAAACTTGATTTTGGGGAAGAGCCTAGAATTTGCATCTCATCAAAGTATACTTGAACATTGGAGATTTCTTTAAAAAAAAAAAAATGATTTGGGGCCTCCCCTGGTGGCACAGGCAGTTGAGCGCCACGCTGTGAAGCTGTCCGCAGTCTCTGCAGCGCTGGTTCGATCCCGGCTGGCTGGCGAGGGTCCCACATGGTGCGGCAGACCTCTCCTGTCACGCCCGCTGCTCCCTTCAGCAGTGTATTTCAACAGTCTGCCTGTTCTGTTCCTGCTCTTTCTCTGGTGAATCCTCTCACCCTCCCGCACATCTGGCCTGTACCCCAGTTCTTGTATAAATAAATAAATAAATATTTTTTTAAAAAAAGATTTATTTATGCAGGCCTCCCCGGTAGTGCAGCAGGTTGAGAAGCAAGTCTTAAGTTTAAAAAAAAAAAAATTTATTTATGCACACAAGATCTGGGGTGCAGGCCAGAGGTGCCTGGATTCACCAGAGACAGAGGATTCACCTGAGAGGATTCACCAGAGACAGAGTGGGGAGCAGAACAGGCAGATTGACTGAAATACATTGCTGAGGGGAGCAGCAGGCGAGACAGGAGAAATCTGCTGCGCCATGTGGGTCACCTCCCTGGTCAGGGATAGAATTTGTGCTGCAGATAGCTTCATTGTGCTGAGACTTAACCCCTTGTGCCACTGGGGAGGCCCAACATTGGAGATTTCTAAAAGGAAAAGGAGGTCTGCTAGAGAAGCCAGTACCACTGTCCTAGTGATTAGGGACAATCGTTATTATCATACATAGAAAAAAAGCATGAGGAATCCATTCTACACTCCAGTTACACATGGTACATAGGGAAAGAGTGGATTTTAGTGGTCTTTGAAGATAAGAGGAGTCTCATACAGGGCTAAAGGATACTGTGCCCCATCTGGGAAGGCATTGTGCATCATGAACCATTACAAGACTATCCACTGAGAAGCTAGGGTAAAGTTCAGTCTACCCTTAAAAGAGTCACCATGTCAGCAAAGGCCATCCATTTCTGGGTTAGAGCGAAGTCAAGGGCATCTCCCTACTACCAGCTTGTTCTTTGGTTAGTTACATCAGGTGACCAGAGCCTTCTATATTTCTCTTCCACCTGAATTAGACCCAGAAAATGGAGGCACAAAAGACCAGACAATGCTCTCCTCCCTATTCCAGATATTTCAACTATAAATGTCATTGGTGATGGGGACAGGAAAGATTTATATCAGATAGGATAGTTATTTAAACAGTGTTGTGCTGAATTTCAGTATCAAAAATAATCAGTATGTATTAGAATTTTCTCATAATGTTAGTAAGGGATGGGGGTAAAAAAGGGAGTTTGACAACAATAGCAAGAAAAAAGTTTTAGGAGGCCTCCCTGGTGGCCTAGGGGTTACGTCTCAGTGCTGTTACTGCTGTAGCCTGAGTTCGATCCCCAGCCAGGGAGCTAACTCACATCCGGTGCAGCAGACCTCTCCTGTCTCGCCCGCGGCTCCCCTGAGCAGTGTATTTCAGTAGAAACAGAACCTCTTAAAAAAAGATTTTATGTTAATAATTCCTTAAAACTGAGACTTTTTCATAAACCAATTATAGCTAACATTTTATTTTATTTATTTTTTTAAAAGATTTATTTATTTATACAAGCACTGGGTACAGTCAGAAGCGCGGGAGGGTGAGAGAATTCACCAGAGCCAGAGCAGGGTGCAGAACAGGCAGACGGACGAAGAACACTGCTGAGGGGAGCAGCGGGCGGCAAGAGGTCTGCGCGCCATGTGGGACCCTCGCCCGGCAGCCAGGGATCGAACCAGCGCTGCCGAGGCTGCGGGCAGCTTCAGCTTCACAACCCAGCGCTCAACCGCTGCGCCACCGGGGAGGCCCTATAGCTAACATTTTAAAAGTAATCTTTTATGGATAGTCTTTGAACCATTGCCACTATTTTTCATATATTCATATGTAGGTTATATGCATCTTCTTGTATTTTATTTTCAATAATCCACTTAGTTTTTAAAATAAAAAAGACAAATTATGCCTTTGCAAAATGCAAGATTTTAAAAATTAGCAACATGGTATTTTGTTGAAAACTTTTTTACTTAATTTTCATATAGTCTGTATTACTATGGTAACATATTTGGGAGTGTGATTTCTGTTTTTATTGACCTGATCTTTAAATTTTTCCTTTACATATTTTAATATTTTCAATAAGTAAGTTGTGACTCTATAATCTAAGCCATCTTTTGGTAGTGACTTAAATACACTAAGCCTATAAAAATATTCTCTGCAGCAATACAATTTTGGTTATGTGATGGTTAACTGGTTAACTAGCCCTGGAACTCTTGGCAAGCTAGCTTCTGTCATTTCATTAACATTACAACCTTGCCTTTAACTTGATTAAAATTTTCAGATACAATAATTTATAAGATTATTGTGGGTATATAATTTTTGTCATCAATTTAAAAATATATTTTAGGTAATGATTTAAATATATATGTTCCCAATCTCTGTATGCAAATTTTGAAAAGGACTTAGAGTCAGTCATCCTGCTACAAAAACACTTGGGAATCAACTTTTCCATAAAAGTTGAATTCTCAAAGCTAAAGTCAAACTTGTAAGCCAGAAGTCATTAACCTTTTTCTGAAAAGGTCACATGGTAAGTATTCCAGGCTTTGTGGGCATATGCCATCACGACTACTTACCTTTGCTACTTAGCTCTCCAATAGCAGTGTTCCATTAAAACTTTATTCTCAGAAACAGCAGTGGGTTAGATTTGACCCACAAGCTGTAGTAGCCAGCCTCAGCTTTAAATAGCAAATTAGTATTTTCATAGTTTTATGAATATCACTCTTAAGTTATACATCAGCTAGTGGGCCTTGTATTGTAGAGGGCTGGTTATTCCTAAAGTAGGAATAAAATTAGATTGCTGGACTTTTTAACTTTGTGCTTACTTTTATAGTTTTTCAGACTTTGGGTATTTTTAGTTAGTCAAGTATATCTATACAAGTAGTTCTTCCCTCATACTAGTTTGATATTCTCATCTGAAGGCATCAGAAAACCCATTTATTTAACTTGGTAAGATTAACACTGTATATTCTATATAGTGAGAGCTACTTCTGAATTTAGGAAAACTTAGAGTACCTTCAGTTATCTCAGGGAATAACTAAATTGTTAATATGCAAAGCAAAATATATTCAATTTCTTAAACACTAATATAACACTTAGGAGAAGAATATTAGAAAATCAAATTAATAGCAATTCCTCACTTAAAAAGTTGGAAATACTGAGAGCAGGCATTTTTCAGGAGGACACATTTAGAGACAAATTGGCTGATTGTAGTCTTTATTAAGTGTATAACCTCAAATTGCAAATAATGCATGTGTACAAAGGAGAAGTTGAACTTTACCCAGACTAATGCCAATAGATGTGCTTAGGAACATAGTCCAAAAATTAAAAATACATCACAGGCAACATGCAGCACAGAGACTTAACACAGAACAGTGAGCTGTTTTCATCACTTTTATCTACATTTTATTTATTTGTTGTTTGAGTTCAGTACTTCTATATGTGTGCTTTGAAACAATGTTATATAATTATGATTAATTAAATTCTATCATTTTATCTAAGGCCAGATAAAATCCTACTGCACATAAACTTCATGTTCTATTTATACTTTAGGTATCAGTTACCATATGGCTGTATGGCAATGTGATGTGCTAGAAATTATTATACAATTTTTACTTTAGCAAAAAAAATTAAGCTAATTGAAATTAGAATAAAAATTGCATTCTGGCTCCTAAAAGCTCAAATGCTATTCTATAAAAACTAAAGGTTATTAGTGATTATTTTAAAAGAATAATAGACTTTTTTTTTTAAGATTTATTTATTTTTGCAAGAACTGGGGTACAGGCCAGAAGTGCAGGAGGGTGAGAGGATATACCAGAGACAGAGCAGGGAGCAGAACAAGCAGATGGGCCGAAAAACACTGCTGAGGGGAGCAGCAGGCGAGGCAGGAAAGGTCTGCTGTGCCATGTGGGTATCTCCCTGGCCGGCAGGGGATCGAAACCACGCTGGAGAGGTTGTAGACAGCTTCACAGCGCTGTGCTCAACCCACTGCACCACTGGGGAGGCCCAGAATAATAGACTTTTGAATTACACATTCTGCATTTTAGAAATATAATTCAAATCATCTTTATGAACCAAATACTTTTAGCCTCTGTACATTGAAAAAGAATAAATGTAGTGTTTTCTGTCAATTTTAGCCTGTTCCCAGAAGTTTGACATCTATTCTAGAATGCCTGATTATTGCTCATTCAGTTGGAGTGGAAAGTCTTTTTGATGACTGCATGAAGTAAGTGACCTGATGTAGCACTGATACCGTTAATTTAGGGATTTTTCCATTTGCCTTGTTTCTGGGAAATTTTAGAATTGGTCTGTTTTCTTGATGACAATGTATGTTGCTTTAAATGCTTAACTAGTTGTGACAATTGAGGAGAGCTATTGATTGAGATATTACTCAAGACACTTGGGATCAATTTTATTTAGCTGAACTATGGTTACTGATGTTAAAATCCATGCACCTAACCCAAAGTGGATTGAAAATATACATTGACAGAAAAGGGAGATCATAGTTAAGTCCATCATAGAGTTCACTAAATTAATGTATGGTTAGTCAAAAAAATAATTCTATATACTTATATATGTACAACTTATATCATTATTAAAAATTAAAATTTTATTAGATTAATGAAAATATTTTCATTTCTCCAAGTTGGGATATTTTTTATTTTTAACAGGTGTGTTGTAAAGCATTTTGCAAGATTTTGGTCTGAAAGAAGCTTTGCAAATGTACCTCCTGAGATTCAGAAAAGTTGTCTTAATGGGTTGATTCAGTCCTTAGTAAGTATAACTTAATACTCTTGTTTGTGTTTATCAAAAAATTTTTCAATTTTGTACAGTTATTCTCAATGTTTTTAATATAACAGTAGAATTATATGATAAAAGCAAGATGAGAGAACTAGGCAGCTAGCTGGAAAAAAATTTAAGTTGAATCTGTACCTCACATCTTGGTATGCCAGGATATATTCCAAACAGGTCAACGATATGAACATACAAAAAATAAAACATTGAAACACGAAAATAAACCCTGAAGAATTATTTTATAACTTGGGCAGAGGAGTAAGGATACAGAATTCAGAAGCCACACACACACCCAAAAAAGATTACCTAAGATGCAGTAAGCAAAAAAAAAAAAAAAAGATTATAAGCAAAATCAGGAATTCATATTTATATTGACATGTGTACAATAATGTTATCTATTATGTTACCATCATTACAACACTGTAATAGCAAAAAGGTGAAAACAATGTAAATGTCTATAAGTATAGCTAATGCCTATTGTGGATTATTTCATCACTATTAAAATAACAAGGCTCTTTATATTTGGAGGGAAAATACTCAATATATACTAAATGTAAAAGGCAGAGTACAGACTGTTGTGCATATTAATGCCTCCATTGGCGTAAATAAGGGAAAATTACATTATATTTTTATTTGTGTATAAAATAACTAGAAAGATACAAAAAATGAATAGCATTGAAGATACAGAGAACAAATAATAATAACATTGATGAAGGGAAATAAATAGCTTGGACACAAGAAGGAAAGGAAGGTGTTAGTGTTGCCCTTTATATATTTTTGGAGTTTGAATCGTGTATTATATTAACTGTTCATTTAAAAGTTAACGTGAGTGGTCTAGAAGTATCACATTTTTTCCCATCTTTGAACCTCAAGCTACTCTACATTTAAGATTTATTTTTTTAATTTATACAATAGTTGGGGTACAGGCCAGAGGCACGGAAGGGTGAGAGGATTCACCACAGTCAGAGTGGGGAGCAGAACAGGCAGACAGACTGAAAGCACTGCTGAGGGGAGCAGCAGGCACGACAGGAGAGGTCTGCCACACCATGTGGGAATCTCCCTGGCCAGCCGGGAATCGAACCCGTTTTACAGAGGCTGCAGACAGCCTCACAGCGCCGTGCTCAACCTGCTGCACTACCAGGGAGGCCCAAGCTACTCTACATTTAATGCTGTGTGTTCATACCAATAAAGAATAATATCACAAATCACCTATGTTATTATTGATCCCCATCATTTAGTTTTCCAATAGATTCCAAGCTAAATTATAAAAACTCTGTTCTGGATCTGTATTTTTAAAAAGATTGTTTCCTCAGACTCAACTTATATGTAATAAGCACTTGGTAGATACCTGCTGAGTTTATTTGAATATCTTAAATTCGACTCTACTACAATTGCTGTAGTAGAGCAAATTGGGCTTATTGCTTCGAACTCTTAGTAATTGCACAGTTACTCAGAAAATCATCAGAGGAGGAAAAAATGATGTGCTGAAAAAGAACTTCATATATAACAAAGTATAGCTTTTTAACTCAGATAAAGCAGTTGAAATATATAATACATTAAAAACAATCTTGGTAAATGGGTGAAGTTTTTAAAAATTTTGATCTTCAAGATTAAACTTGACTTAGAAATTCACTTATAGACTCTTAGTTTCTGATGATGTTAACAGATCAACAAACGTCTGAGTGTCTTCTGTGACCCAGTTTTGTGCTGGAAGCTGGGTGAATTATACAGTGGTGAGCTAAAACAGACACAGTTCAAACTCAGTAACAGCCTAGTGGGAGAGACCAATAGTAATCAAATAGTTGCATTTAAGATTGAGCAATTACTGAATGACAATGAGGACACCAATTTCCTAAATGTATGGGATGCAGCAAAAGCAGTAATAAGAGGAAAATATATAGCAATAGAGGCTCACATCAAGAAACAAGAAAGAACTCAAAGAAACAACCTAATCTCGAAGCTCAAAGATCTAGAAAAAGAACAACAAAAAACCCCAAAACCAGTAGAAGAAAAGAAATAATAAAAACCAAAGCAGAAATAAATGAAATTGAAACTAAAAAAAACAATCCAAAAGATCAATGAAACCAAGAGCTGGTTCTTTGAAAAAATCAATAAAATAGACAAACCCCTAGCCAGGCTCACAGAAGAAATAAGGGAGAAAGCACAAATAAACAGAATCATAAATGAAAGAGAAATCACAACGGACACAGCAGAAATCAAAAAAATAATCAGTAACTACTATGAACAGTTATATGGAAACAAGTTCAACAATCTAGAGGAGGCGGACAAATTCCTACAACTCTACAATCACCCAAAGCTAGATAAAGAAGAAATAGAACACCTAAACAGACCAATTACAAGCAGCGAAATTGAAATGGTAATCAAAAACCTCCCCCAAAACAAAAGCCCTGGACCTGATGGATTTACAAATGAATTCTACCAAACATTCAGAGATGAAGTAGTGCCTATCCTATACCAACTCTTCCAAAAAATTGAGAAGGAAGGGACAATACCAAACACGTTCTATGAAGCCAACATTACACTAATACCAAAACCAAAGAAGGACAACACAAAAAAAGAAAACTACAGGCCAATCTCCCTAATGAACACTGATGCAAAAATCCTCAATAAAATTTTAGCTACCACAATCCAACAATGTATCCACAAGATAATTCACCATGACCAAGTAGGATTCATTCCAGGGACACAAGGATGGTTCAACATCCGAAAATCAATCAATGTTATCCAACACATCAACAAAAAGAAATATAAAAACCATATGATAATGTCAATAGATGCTGAGAAAGCTTTCGACAAAGTGCAACACCCATTCATGATAAAAACCCTTGAAATTCTTGGGTTACAAGGAACATACCTCAACATCATAAAGCCCATATATGACAAGCCAACACCCAGTATCATTCTCAATGGTGAAAAGCTGAAAGCAATTCCATTAAGATCTGGAACAAGACAAGGATGTCCACTCTCACCACTGCTTTTCAATATAATACTGGAAGTCCTAGCCAGAGCAATAAGACAAGAGAAAGACATACAAGGAATCCAAATAGGAAAAGAAGAAGTCAAACTATCACTATTTGCATATGATATGATAATATACATAGAGAACCCCAAAAACTCCACAGAAAAACTAATTCAACTCATCAATCAGTTCAGTAAAGTGGCAGGATACAAAATCAACACGCAAAAGTCAGTAGCCTTCCTATACACAAACAATAAATGTGAAGAAGAAGAAATCTAAAAAACCATCCCTTTTATTATTGAAACAAAAAAAATCAAATATTTGGGAATAAATCTAACAAAAGAGGTAAAGGACCTATACAAAGAAAACTATAAAACACTGTTAAAAGAAATAGAAGAAGACACAAAGAAATGGAAAGACATCCCCTGCTCATGGATTGGAAGAATAAACATTATTAAAATGGCCATCCTACCAAAAGCAATATACAGATTGAATGCTAGTCCAATAAAAATTTCAATGTCATTCTTCAAAGAAATAGAACAATTACTGATGAAATTCAAATGGAATCACCAAAAACCCTGAATAGCCAAAGCTCTCCTGAAAAAAAAAGAAGGGAATAGAGGCATCACACTCCCAGACTTCAAACTCTACTACAAAGCCATAATCATCAAAATTGCATGGTATTGGAACAAGAACAGACACACAGACCAATGGAATTGAATAGAAAATCCAGAAATTAACCCACAGATTTATGGCCAACTAATCTTGACAAAGGAGCAAAGGCTATGCATTGGAGCAAAGAAAGTATGTTCAATAAATGATGCTGGGAAAATTGGGTCGCTACATGCAAAAGAATGAAGCTTGACCACTACCTCACACCATACACAAAAATCAACTCAAAATGGATTAAAGAACTAGACATAAGACCTGAAACCATAAAATACATAGAAGGAAATATAGGCGAAACACTACATGATATGCACATCAAAGACATCTTTGCAGACACATCACCCAAAGCAGTGATAGTGAAGGCAAAGATAAACAGCTGGGACTACATCAAATTAAAGAGCTTCTGCACAACAAAAGAGACAGTAACAAAAACAAAGAGAAACCCCACCAACTGGGAGAACATTTTTGCACACAACACTAATGATAAAGGACTGATCACAAAAATGTGCAAAGAGCTGATGAGACTCAACAACAACAAAGAAAATCTTGTCAAAAAATGGGCAGAAGAGCTGAAAAAAAAACCTCTCTGAAGAGGAAATGCAAATGGCCAACAAGCATATGAAAAAATGTTCAGCATCACGTGTAATCAGGGAAATGCAAATCAAAACTACCATGAGATACCATCTTACACCAGTGAGAATGGCACATATTAAAAAAACTAGCAACAACAAATATTGGCGAGGATGTGGAGAAAAAGGAACTCTCCTGCACTGTTGGTGGGAGTGCAAACTGGTCCAACCACTATGGAGAGCTGTGTGGAGATTTCTGGACCTACTAAACATAGAGCTTCCATATGATCCAGCAATTCCACTCCTAGGTATTTACCCAAAGGACACAGAAACGTCAATTCCAAAGAGCACCTGCCATATTTTAGAAACCAAAGTCATAAGTATATTGTTTCGGTCAGTAATACAATTATGTGCATGCAAACTTGTCTTACTTGGGACTACCTTTCTCTAAAATTAGTTATTGAACTTCTATTTTGCTCTTCTCTTACTGTTTACAATAGCTAAGCTTTGGAAACAACCCAAATGCCCAAAAATAGATGACTGGATCAAGAAGATGTGGTACATATACACCATGGAATATTACTCAGCATTCAAAAAAGATAAACACATGCAATTTGCAGCAACATGGATGGCGCTGGAAGGGATCATGCTCAGCGAAATAAGCCAGAAAGAAAAAGAAAAATACCGGATGGTCTCACTCATAGCAGGAATCTAGAAAATTTAAATAAGGGACTATAAGAAAGTGAAAATCAAAATCAAAAAACTATGAACCAGAGACACTCAATGAGGAGTGGGGGGCGGGGAGGGTAGATTGAGCAGTTACTAATGAATTAAGTCCTCTAAAGAAAGGGGCAGCTTCGGGCCTCCCCTGGTGGCGCAGGTGGTTGAGCACTGCGCTATGAAGCTGTCTGCAGCCTCTGCAGCGCAGGTTCAATTCCAGCTGGCCGGCGAGGGTCCCACATGGCAAGGCAGACCTCTCCTGTCATGCCCGCTGCTCCCTTCAGCGGTGTATTTCATCAGTCTCTCTGTTCTGTTCCCCGCTCTCTCTCTGGTGAATCATCTCACCCTCCCGCGAATCTGGCCTGTATGCTGGTTCTTGTATAAATAAATAAATCTTAAAAAAGAAAGTTTAAAAAAAAAGGGAGCAGCTTCTCTGATGGCACGAAGAGAAACTGTTGTTGAAATAGGAATCAGGGAAGACAGAACTTGAACTGAGATCTGAAAGATACAGAGAGAGAGCAAGGTATATATCATGCAAGTTCTGGTAAGAATATCATTTTGTCATTTCTAGATTTATCATTTATCTGTTGTTCTGTAACAAGTCACCCCAACACTAAGTACCTTAAAGCTAAAGTTTATTTCTCACAATTCTCTGGGTTGACTAGTTGATTCTCCAGCTCATCTTGCCTGAGCTCAGTCCTATGACTGCTTTTAGCTAGTTGCAATGTTGGGGACTGGGCTTTGGGCTCTGGTCTTTTCTTAATAGCCTTCTTTATGGCCTCATGGTCGCAGAATACCAAAAGAGTAAAGCCAGAAGCTTCCAGATATTGTGAGGCCTCAGCCCTGGGACTTGTGCAATACCACTGTACAAGCAAGTGAAAAAGCCAGTGTAATTACAGGGGATGAGGAAATTGATTTCACCTCTTGATGGATATAGCTACAAAGAATTTGTGACCATGTTTTTCCATCTACAATCCATCAGTAACTAATAATTTTTTGATAAGGTTTGTTTTAAGAACTAGAAATCAGGGGGTGGGGGGAGGAGAAGAGGGATTGGGGTCAGAATCAAGGGGGTGGGACTTGTATGGGGAATATAACCAAAATGAAAAAAACTAAAAAAAAACTAGAAATCAGATATGAATAAGATACGGTAATTTAGTTGCTGTTTTTTCATGGTTCTTAGGGTATTTGTGACTTTTCTTTCCATAATGATCATATTCATGAACTTTTTTTTCTTATGGTATAAAAATGAATCATCATTAAATGAATAAAATATAAAAAGGAGAATCTTACCTAATTAGGGAAGAGGAAGACAATCACTAGGGATTATAAGTAATTTTAGCCTTCTAAATTTGTAATAAAGAACATGTACTTCATAGTCAGAAAAGAATTAAGCCTATGTCAATGTAGCCATGCAATTTTGAATGATCTGTGAGCACAAAAATTAAAATCTTAGTAACATAGTAGATAAAAGCCTACTGAAAATCTCAGGGAAGTCATAATTGTTTTATAACTTTGCTCTCAGATTTGTTTTCACTATCTTTTAAAGGTAGACTCTTCCCCGTGTGCCCCTTTGGATAATTTTGAGTCAGTGAATAAGTATTATATGTAAAACTAATGGCAAAGATATTAGCCGCCTGTTTTCACAGGAAAACAAAAAGTATTTGATTTGCTTAGAAAGTTATTTTATCAGCAGTCATCTAACTATTTTCCCAATATTTTTTAAATTATAAGAATGATAAGAATGCTGCTTTTCTTCTGATGGAAAGTGACAGGCTCATCATCAGTTTACCCAGAGTTAAGTGGACAGAAGCAGCACTTCTTATGGCCTCTCAGCTCCAAGAGGAGTGTATGGCATTTATTATTGAAAACTTCTCCAAGATTATTCAAAGTGAAAATTTTGCTCTTCTCTTACAGGTATTGTGTCTAAAATTATATCCTACATTTAGTCCCATCTTTGTGTTGTGATTTTAATTATGTAAGAGTTTTTTGAATTCAGGTTGCCTTTGATTAAATTAGTATGGCTTAAATAAATTCCATAGCAGATGGCATGTTTGCATAGGATTTAGAGCAGTGACGGACTGGCATTTTGGCTCACAAGATATTGAAGTGGGAGGGGTGGAGTGTGGAAGGCAGGTTCTAGTGCCCTGGCAAGGCACAGTATAATTCTGGCCAACTTTAACCCTCAAATAGCTTAAGCCATATTTTAGAAACCAAAGTCATAAGTATATTGTTTCGGTCAGTAATACAATTATGTGCATGCAAACTTGTCTGTCTTACTTGGGACTACCTTTCTCTAAAATTAGTTATTGAACTTCTATCACTTATTTATAGGTTCTGTTTTCAGGACTGTTTGGACACTTAAGCACTGTGTGTGTGTGTGTGTGTGTGTGTGTGTGCGCGCGCGTGGGTGCACAAAAATTTTTAACTTTTGTTTTACTGTAATTATAAATAGGGTTATTATATTACACAACTATAATAATCATATTGTTACTAACTAAGGAAATAAGATTTCTAGTTGACTTCATATAGCTGGTTATAATAAGTGGTCTGCCCCTTATGCCAGACTTTCACATTTTGTACACATTTTATATGTATTTTTACTAAATATCAGTTTCTGTGTTTTGTAGTCACAAGCAATGAGCAGCACAGCCGATCTCTTGGAAAAAATATTGAAAGCAATTGAAGAAAACATTACCACTGAGAATAGCTGCTCTCTTCTTATGGCTCTGGACACATTACTGAATTCTGACCACACAAAAGAAATGGTATTGAATGTAATAAAGTTCATTGAAATGACATAATATTCAACTATTTTAACATTTTTAAATGTGTGCATATTTTAATTGTTGCATGGTTCATTGAAACTAAGTAATAGAACTAGGGGGTTGATTATAGTATTTACTTTTGTGTATGTTTGGAATATTTCATAATGCAAAATTTTTAGAATTTCATTTACTGGCAAATGAACTTAAGAAGTTTAGAATTTGGCAGTTTACCAAGCTAATTTTTTTTTAATGAATTCTTTTTTTTTTTTTTAAGATTTATTTATGTATTTATGCAAGCACTGGGTACAGTCAGAAGCACGGGAGGGTGAGAGAATTCACCAGAACCAGAGCAGGGAATAGAACAGGCAGACTGACGAAATACACTGCAGAGGAGAGCAGCGGGCGCGGCAGGAAAGGTCTGTCGCACCATGTGGGACCCTCGCTGGCATCCGGGGATTGAACCAGCACTGCAGAGGCTCGCAGCCCAGCGCTCAACCACTGCGCCACCAGGGGAGACCCTAATTCTTTTTTTTTTAAAGATTTATTTTTTTATGCATTCAAGAACTGGGGTGTAGGCCAGAGGTGCAGGCAGGTGAGAGAATTCACCATAGGCAGAGTGGGGAGCAGAACAGGCAGACGGATTGAAATATACAGCTGAGGGGAGCAGCGGGTAAGACAGGAGAGGTCTGCTGCACCATATGGGTAGTTCCTTGGCTGGCCAGGGATCGAACTAGTGCTGCAGAGGCTGTGGATAGCTTCACAGTGCTGTGCTCAACCCCTTGTGCCACCAGGGAGGCCTTTACCAAGCTAATTCTAAACACAATTTGGTATTAGCAATATTAATTGGTAAAGTATAACTCTAGTATTTTCCTGCAGTCACTACATTAAATTTCTTAAATATAAAATTTACATAGAATTTTAAAGACTATTTAAAAATTTTAAATCATCAATGTCTTTCATTTTTATTATATATTCTTAATTTTTTTTTTGTCTTGAGAAAAAATATTAAAATCGGATTGCCTGGGGAAAAGCAAAATTTAAAAATTACTTATTTTTAAATGCAGTTAATCAATGACATTTAATAAGTTAATTGCAATTTATTTACATATTTGCTTAACAAGAACGATAAAATACTTTATACAATAGTAAAAAATTTTACTATTGTATAAAGTATTTGACCTTGTAATGTCATAGTTGATTTGAAAAGGCTGTGTAAGGTATTCATGTAAAAGCCGTTGATGGTTTAAAATAATGTTTGGTTGAAACGATAAGGTTTAGTTTCATGTTCACTATAAAATCCTGTTGTTGAAGGATAAGCCTTCATAAATAACATGTGCCTGACGATCTTAAAAATCTAAGTGATGACATCATTGATCTAGCTTAGGAGTAAGTAGATTCGGAAAGGAATAATGACTGGTTGCTATGACAATGTGGCTCTCACCAGCTGCTGATTTGTTGCTTGAACACAGGGTTTTACGTGCAAGATCCAGGCTCTGCGTGATAAGCTGTGGGTCTTCCTGGTTCAGTCTTTCTATGCTGTTCGTCACACAGAAAGCTGGAAGCTGATGAGCACAGATGATCAACAAAAAATCCAAGCAGGTATGTTAACCTGAAGATTTTTTATTCTTACATTATGATCTTTGTGACCAGAGATATTTTAAGGGGATTCTAATATGTGATAGGATTAATGTTTGTTTCTATTCAATAACAGCTTGCTAATTGAAACTAGTGATAGTATGTTTAGGCAGTTTTAATAAATCATGCTTTTTTGCTCTACAGAGAAAATGAAGTTCATTTCCTTTATATATATGTACATATACATGCATATATATTCACATGAATTTTTAATCCTACTCCATATTAGCAACAATGTTTCAGACAAATTTGCTTAAAAGCTTTCTTCTAAAGAAATATAGAAGTATAGAAAAATACAATCCACATAGAACAAATGAACAAACATACTTTCTCTCCCTTTTAAAATATAGTTTGCCATAAAGCTTTTCCATCTTTTGCGTAAGATATCCTTTCTTGTGGTTTTGCCCAGATTAGATGGCTTTATTTCACAATTGATTGATTCAGTGAGATGGTGTGTGCTATTGCGGAGTATCCCTCAGGAGCCACACAGTGGTCTCTGACATTTAATAGGCACCGTTTGAAGCATTAGCATTCAATAAAAGATGTAGATTGCTCAAAATGTATGTTTGGTTTAAAATCATTAAAATAAAATTTTGAGGGTGTGGAACTAAAAATGGCTTCACAACTATTTTTGGGTTAAAGCAGGTGCCTTAGGAAATAATGCTGACAGATTCAGCAAAGTATACTTTTCAAAAACATTTTAAGTTGAGACTATATTTCGTTTTTGTACTATGCAACGTGGAAGACGTATGTGATATATTAGATTACTGGTGGTGAATTGGTGTATTAAATTCTTTAATGATTCAGTCAGAATATGATCTACTCTGCCTTGCATTATGAGCATAACATGACAGTGTGGCTAGATGTGCTCTAAAAAGCACTTTTCAAAGATATTCCAGCAAGATAATAAAAAACATGAAAAAAGCCTTAGAAATTGAAATTTTTTTTCCTTGTGACTATCTCTGTCCTGATTTTTAGATGACAGCTTTTACTACAAAAATCTATGCACTAAAGAAGTAAGATTAGACCTGCATTTCATGAGTGGGTATCTTCACCTCTCTTTTGCTTGGTAGTAAACTTTGTTTTTCTCTATCTTAGAGAATTTCATAGTAAAGTTGGGCCTCAAGCAACGTTGTTTATCTTAATTCTTCAAAGTGCTAATTAAAAATACATGTGAATACATCTACATACACACATAACCAGAGCAGAATGTTACTAGTAATCCAACTATTGTCAAAAAGAACTTTCCAACCTTCTATACTACGTCAATATAATATTTTTTTTATCATAAATATGTTGAATTATAATGAATCCCAATTTGTACATAATTACTGCATTGGGAAACCCCAGATAAAGGAGTGATTCTAGGTTGTCTTTTGTAATAACATTTCTTATGTTCTAGTTGAGTTACTAACCTTTGGGGAAATTTTTGTATTAATGTCTTTCTGTTGTTGTTCTACAAGTCAGTCTATATAATGCCATTTCTAGTATCCTACTTACCTTATAGTAGAAATTCGATAAAACAGACATAGTAGAAGATGCATGGTACAGTTACAGATAATTTATTGTATTTTCATCAGCCATTTTAATAAAAATCAATTTTTGGGAGATTATACGTTATTTTATTTTAGAGGCTCTTACCTTTTAAAGGGAAGAAATATGTCAGCTATAAACTATATTTATAGCTCTCCTACCATTATTACTATATATTTACCTGATGTCATTCAATTCTTATTTGAAAAACATAGACATGAATTCTCTAATAATTCCCATGTAAGTCTAATTTGTAAAATAAATTTTTATTTAATTCTAAAAAGAATAATGTGGCTTAAATGATTGTTTCTTGTTTTATTTTCAGAGACTCTTATTTCTCTTCCTTCCTTCCTCATGATTTACCTGCTAAGCCAGAAAATACCTATAGTTAATTTCAACAGAGTACCCTTATACTTCTTAAGATGAACATTTTTTCGTATTTAATAGTTCATAAGTATTATATTTGGTACGACCTGTAAATTTTTGAAATTTGGAATACTGATTGAAACCAATTATCTATAAAATTTCACAGCTTGAGAAAATTCTGAGTTTTTTTAAAAATTGAGAAACACACTTCTTATTTACAAATTTTAAGAACATAAAGTCTATAGGGGCCAAAAAAAGTTTGAAAATTAGGTTCTTATTTTAAAAAGTTTAAAATATAATGGGGAATTGTTTAACTACATTGATCTAAACCAAATTGGTTCAGCTTTTTAAAAATATTTTCTATCAAATCGTAATTGTTGTTGCTTCCATACTATTTTCTGTCTACTTTGATGGTAATAATAGGTGTCTCCTATAAAATTAAATTGCTGTTTCTTTCTGCAGCTGCATTTGACAAAGGTGATGATCGAAGACTTGGCAAAAAGCCCATATTCAGTAGCTCTCAGGTAAACTTTTAAAATTTTATAGGTCTCAGTGCAAAAAAGATACCAAATAAATTTTTTTTATTTCAGAATAATTTTTAAAAATCTATTCTTTCATTGATTAAAACTATTTCTTAATGGAGATAATTTTGAGTATTTTTGTAATCAAGTGAACATTTCATAATTTTTTAATGATAAGAGTTTTATATCTAACAGGCGTAGAAGTGAACTATTGTCCATCATTTTTATTTCCTTGAAAACCTTTTTTGGCAGTTAATATATTGGAGCTATTCCAGTAGGTGAGAAATTGTCTAGAATTCTAGACCTCATTCAGTGTCTAATTTTTAAATTAACCTACTTCTTACAGAGGAAGATTTTGGTTGTCCCAGTTTTCTCTATACTATGATTTTAATTCATGTAATATATTTTTGGTACAAAAAGGCAACTATCTTCAAGAGTACGGTTGTGTTTTGCTTTAGAAGTTACCTGGTGTACTTAAGATATATCTAAAGTAGTTGAACTCTTAGTAAATAGAATAAGTTTGCCAGAGAGAAATGGTTGCTCAGTGGTTATGGAGTTTCAGTTTTGTAAGATGAAAAAGTTTTAAAGATCTGGTGCGCAACAAGGTACATGTTGTTAACTATACTACCCACTTGAGAATGGTTAAAGTAGTAAATGTTATTTGTTTTTTACCATGCATATACAGTACACATATGTACAAAGTTTACTTTGATATATTAGTTATAACATGAACTATAAATTCTAGTCCTGGCTAATGATGGTTAGTGTGCCAAGCTAACTTACATATCGCTACCTAATCAAATATGTATTTGAAGTATAAAATTATTCTAACTAGTACATGCATTGCAGTCATACAGAGACACACATTGAGAGTTTTGGTTTGGAATGCAAAGAACATATTGCCCTTACAGATCGGAATCGGGAGTCTTTTCTTCTCTGCCAGTAGATAGGAAATCATACAACTCCGAGCCACAACAGAGAGCTCTCATGGCTTGAGCCAGAGATCAAGCTCCAAATGTCTTGGGTGAGAAACTATAGGACACTGGAGCATCTTGCTAGGAAACTTTCTCGTACTACTTCCCAAAGTGTGTTCCACAAAATACCAGTGCTATCATATTTTCCAACTAAGAACATCTATTGTCGCTACATTTGCGAATCTTTGTACACAGTAGCTTCCCTTAGAGACTAATGGTGCACGTGAGCACCTTATAAAAGTTCTGAGAAACACTGCAGTAAAGAACACTTTTGAATTCTGTTTTACTCAACATTTCCTTTAATTTTATAACCGTGCAACACCACTAGACTCCCCCTTCACCCTTTTAAGTATATTACTTAGTTCCACACCACATGCACTAGGAGATTATATCTTAGGGCATATTTTGCTATGTCCTAGTTCCCTATTGTCTCCCATGTGTTTTTTAAGGCCCCCAGAAATTAGCCTATCTGCCTTGCTTTCTTCAATTCTGCTATCTTTTTTTAACCAGGCTTTTCCTCCTTCCTTGCAGCAAAATGGAACAGTCTCATTGCTCTTTCTTGTCCTCCTGAGTTTCAGACTGTTAACTGTTACTGTTAACCACAGTGGGATGGAAACAGGGCGATACGCTTTCCTAAGAAGGACAGTAGTGTACTGAAATGGGAGCTAAACATAGAATCAGAAGAGTTCAAATCTTGACTCTACATTATTATCTGTAGCATCTATGAGGCTTGTTTGCTTCTCTGTAAAATGGAATAAAAAAAAAACTAGTAGGATTACTGTGAAAATTGAAAGAAATAATTTATGTGCAATTATCTGTTATGTAGTAAGTGCTAAATAAATGTGAACAAATAAAGGTGTGTCCGAAGAGATTAGATCTTTTGGAGGTGGGAGAAAGTTAATGAGATTAGACTTAGAGAAAGGTTTCATTGGGTTGGTACTGAAATATGGATAAAATTTAGATGATGTCTGGGATTTGCTACAAAATAAAAATAGAGGTAGTTATATATGAAACAAAATGCCAAGGGCTAATCATTATTAAAGCTGGGTGATAGGTATATGGGACACTGTACTCTTCAGTCTTCTTTTGATTATGTTTAAATTTTTCTATTACATGTGTATATTTTATAAGGAATAGTACTAGAACTGAAAGGGTATCTAATGTTTTAGGGGATTATCTCTTTTTCTTCATTTTTGTCAATAACATGTGGTTGATACCAGCCCAGCCTAGTGGGCTCTTGAGTATCTCACTCAAGAATGCAATACCTTGAGACACCGAATGGAGCAGAAGCACTGTGGCTTTATTTTTATTAGAAACAAAAAAACTGGAGGACAGAGCTCCAGGGAGAGCAATCTAGACAGGAATCTCCTCATAGAGTGCTGTTGTTGCCTTTGTGTTTTCTCTCCTTGCAGTCTCCCTGCAGGTACACCACCTCTTGTTCCACCTTCCTGGAATTCACTTGCTGTGAGGAAGGGTCAAGGCAACTCAATCAGATTCTTCCTTCTGTGCCAACTTAGTCCCCAATTTTTTTAAAAGATTTATTTATTTATGAATACAAGAGCTGGGGTGTAGGCCAGAGGTGTGGGGGGTGAGAGGATTCACCAGAGACAGAGTAGGGAGCAAAACAGGAGGATTGACTGAAATACACTGCTGAGGGGAGCAGCAGGTGAGACAGGAGAGGTCTGCTGTGCCATGTGGGTTAGCTCCCTGGCTGGGTATCAAACTCGTGTGGCAGTGGCTACAGATAGCTTCAGAGTGCTGCGACTTAATCCCTTGTGCCACCAGGGAGGCCCATTAGTCCCAAATTTTTGTGTGTTCTCCTAAAATATACTCAATGCATGCCATGAGCATCCTGGCGCCTCCGGTGAAGTCATTACATGTTTACTGGGCACGTACTCCTACGGAGGCCACTCACATTCTTCCTGGATGTAGTCTTTGCAGGAAGTTCAGTATCGTTAATGGCTGATTTTGACACTTGTTATGACCACAGTTGACAAGCTGGTGCCTTTCACCATCTGCCCGAGGTCACAATTATTTATTATTGACTATTATTATTTTTTTTTACTATTTGCTATTAACTATCTGTTACTATCACAGATGGCACTTTTCGCCATCTGTTTTCCAACATCAGCCCTGGCCCCTGTCACATGGTAACCATTCCTGTTGGCCATTTGTATATAAGAAGGACATAAACTCTGCAGAGGTACTCAGAGACTGCCTAGGAATGCATATACATTGAATATTCGTCATGCTCTACTATGTTCATGTGAATTTCTAAAGGAATATATTTATTCCATATACTATATAGATCTTACCCATCACATAATACTTTAAAATAGATTCAAAGATAGAGGGATAAAGTAAATTAAGTCAGACCAGTTTCAAGGTGAGAAGTCTAAAATCAGAAATATAACTAGTTATGGGCCTCCCCTGGTGGTGCAGTGGTTGAGCGCTGGGCTGCGAGGCTGCCCGCAGCTCTGCAGCACCGGTTCGTTCCCCGGCCGCCGGCGAGGGTCCCATACACACACACACACACACACACAAAAAGAGGAAAGAAATATAACTAGTTATCGGTATTAAAGTAGAGAAAAGTTATTTTTTGACCTAAGGTTTAATCCAGACTACAAAAAAATGAGGACCAAGCCTATCAGAACTTTGTAAATGTGACATAGAATCCTAGAACATTGCACTGATAAGGCAGGTCTGCACCCTCTAAACATGTATAATCAGAGACACAAGAGATGTTAATGACTTCTTAAATATCCTAAATCAGTTAGGCAAAGCTAAGGCAAGAATCTAATGATTCCTTTATTACATTACTTTGTTTTCCCCTAACCTTTGCCAGATTATTTATTATGTATATATACATGTATGTATATGTGAATATGCATTTTTTTAATCTTAGACATAATTTTAATGTAACTAGAAACTTTGTATTTTTAGATGTAACTAGATCTTGAATAGTATATAAGCCCAAGTTTAGCAACGTTTGACACATTTTTTTGAGTACCCAGTATGTGATGGCTGCAGTGGTAGGCAGCACAGAGATGAGGACAGCAGTCTCTGCTTCTCACCGCTATAATTTCACAGCTTTCCAAAGGGGAACAGGCGGGGTGGTCTTATTTACCTAAAGACTTGCAATATAATCATCTTAAATTTTTGTTCTAAAATTTCTATCATTTTTTAAAATTTTGTTGTTCCTTTTCATGTCAAGGTTGGTTCTAAACAAAATGATGAAGGTTGTGCATTTGTCTTCAGTGCCCTTCTATTTCTCCCTTTTTACCTATTCCACCTATTTAGTTCCCCTTTTCTCTGCTTGCTCTAGACAACCAATACTGCATTGCTGTCTTGTTTCTTCCTAAAACCAAACTTTGTGTTGTGATTCTCAACGAACTTTTTTTTTTTTCTTAAATGAGAAATCGCAGAGGTAAACACTTCTTACCACACAGGATTAAATCTCTAGTGGTAAAATTTCTGGGATTTAAGTGAAGAAAGAATTTTTGGTGAAAATCCTTATAATGACTCTCAAATTGTATCATATAGTTGACTGTCTTCTTAAAGTAGTAAAGTATGATCTCAAGTCCTAGTTCTATCCGTATCAATATGTGACCCTTGGTTGGGTAAATCACATATCTGCTTTCCCAGTTTCTTATTTAAGAAATAGAGGTAACAATGGGCTAACACATAGGATTGTTATGAGGTTTCAGTGAGATGATTTATAGAAAGGGTTTTACACAAAACCTGGGAGTGGACTCTCAAAAAAACATTGGCTGTTATTGTCATTCACCAAAGGCATCCTTACTTCTGTGGGTATTAACCTCTACCATAACTAAACTTAAATACCTTGCCTTTGTAAATAATACTGCCTTTCACTTTCTTACGCTACATTTCAGATTTGATTAAGGTAAGGTGGTCAATAGCATATTCAAAATCTTGATCAAAATGATCAAAAATAATTCAAATATTGAGTGATTCTGAATCATAACATGGACTACAGTTTTTCCTCTTTGGAAAACTTGCTTATTGAAATGTGAAAGTATTATATGTCAAAAACTTAAGTCAAATTACGAAGTACTTTTTTATCCTTTGTAGCAAAGGAGACAACATTCTGACTCTGGTCTTATAAAAAGCACATCTTCAAGAGGAAATAACAAGAAAGAGTGTTGGAGATATCCCTCTACTAATCAAAAGATGAAATCCGATGGACTAGGAGCATCAGGACATACATCAAGTACCAATAGAAATACTATAAATAAAACTTTGAAGCATGATGATTTAAAAGAAAAAGATGGTACAAAAATAGCATCTAAGTTTACAAAAGAATCAAAAACTGGGGTGAAAACTGTTTCTGGAAAGCCCAAAGCTATAATAAAATCTAAAATGGAAAACAGTGATAATACAAAGTCAGCAAATGTGTCACCTAGACAAGCTGTGGAAAGATCAGCAGCAGCAGCAACAGCAACAGCAGCAAATGGACAGAATAATTTATTAAATGGAAAAGGAGTGAGAAATCAGGAAGGGCACATTACAGGTGCCAGACCCAAGATACTTGCTGGAAACTTAAATGTTCAAGCCAAAGCAAAGCCTTTGAAGAAAGTGACAGGAAAAGATTCTCCATGCAACAGCATCACAGGTCCCTCCAGCAGATCTACCAACTCAAGTATGGAATTATTGATTTCCACTGAATGTCTGGATGAGCCCCCCAAAAATGGATCAATAGGAGAAGAGAAGCCTTCTGGTCATAAACAGTCCCTTTATGAATCTCCAAGACAGATAGTAAAAAACAATGGTGAAACTATCAAAACTTCCACTGTAGGTAGGTTTTAATACACTTTTTTTTTTAATTGAGGTAATTTTTTTTTACCACACTATATAGGCTTCAGATGTAAAATTTCTCACCTCAGCAACTGTATATATCACACCAACACCTACCACCAAATGTCAGTCATCATGCACCACCAACCTATCATCCCCCTCTTACCTATTCCCTACCCCTCCTTCCCCTCTGGTAACCACCATTCCGTTGTCATAGTCTAAGAGTTTGTTTTTGTTTCGTTTGTTCACTTGCCTTTTTTCCTTTCTTTAATTTTTTTTTTTTTGCACAGAAGAATTGGGGTGTAGGCTAAAGGTGAGAGGGTAAAAGGACTCACCAGAGACAGAGTGAGGTATAGAACTGCAGATCTACCTGAAATACATTGCTAAGGGGAGCAGTGAGCAAGACAGGAGTTAACTTCCTGGGCAGGAATCAAACCCGGGCCTTAGCAGTGGGTTAACTGAGGCTTAACCCCTAGGGCACCAAGGAGGCCCCCCTTTTTTTCTTTACATTCCACAAATGAGTTAAATCATGTAGTATTTTTCTTTCTCCTTCTGAGTTATTTCACGTAACATAATCCTCTCAAGTTCAGTCTATGTTGTTGCAAATGGCAAGATTTCATCTTTTTAATGGCTGAGTAGTATTCTATTATGTGTGAATATCACATCATCTTTATCCATTCAGCTCTCCTCAGGCACTTGGATTGTTCTACATCTTGACTACTGTGAATAGTGATGCAATGAACATGTGGAGTGATCTAATTTTATTTTTTTCCAAAGCTCTATGGATGTTTAATGGTAACTTTTTTTTTTTACACACTGTGGCCTTTATTAATTGGTTTCCATTTTATTTTATTTTTTAAAATTTATTATATATATTTTACATTGTTCATTTTTAAACAATGTTTGCTTTTCTTCTTCTTTTTTTCCCTCGGGTGTTGTCCCCATAAAACTTCCCCCACCAGTTCACCCAAGCACCATCACCACAGTCCCCTGTGCTCTTTCTCCCTGTTTTGGACTTTTATTTATTTTCAAATGCCAAGAAATATTTATTTACATATATTCATGCCAGCTAAGAGAAAACACAATTCTTCCCATGTTAACATTTTGTTCATAGTATCTGAATTTATACATATTTGTTGCATATTTAGTGTTCTCTCACCTGACCCACTTATCTTTTATTTACAGCAGTAAAATCTAGACCTGTTTCAAAACTTACCAATGGAACTTCCAATAAAAAAAGCATTCATGAACAAGAAAATAATATAAATAACAGGTAAGTCTTCATTCATTGTGTTACCTATGTATTAGTTTTTTCTGATAGGTAACTTTATACTAATGTCTATCTAAATATTTTTTCTTCTTTGGTTATAAAATTTAATGTATTTACCAGTGATATTTTGAAACTTTATTTATTAAAAGAAGTTACTTTAAGTGTAATGATGATTAATAGAAAATAATAGTGGAATACTTAATTGCACTTGTGGAACTTGATTATCACTTGCTTTGTCATACTTGATCATACAGTTTGGTAAACTCGAAGACCTATGAAAAGATAGTTTTTCTATTTTCACAAAAGAGATACAATTTTATTTCTTTGAGGGAAAAATATATTTCATGTATGAGTCTTTTAAAAGTCCACATTTTGGATCCTTGAAGTAACAGTGAATGCACATCATTTTTCTTAGTGTGCTAAAGAAGGTCACTAACAAAGGATGTAGTGATTCAGCACCACAAGCAATTTTAAAGAAAAGAGGAACTAGCACTGGATTTGCTACCACCCAGCAGAGAATGAAAAATGGCCCTTCTAGTCTTGCTAAAACTCAAGGTAAGGCTGAGAGAGTCCCTTGTTTAAGTTGAATAAACAGAAGTCTCACTTGAAATGTTAACTGCACATAAGCAAAATATAACTGGTTTCAATAATTACATATTTTGTTTCATACTATAGAGATGAATGAAGTTTTATACTTTTACTTTTCAGGCAAGTAGTTTGGTATTCTGGGGAATGGTTTTGATTTTTATTTTCTTCTGTGAGAGAAATTAAGATGTCACTAATGTATCTACATTTCTGGTCTTTTTATATAATATGCCTCTGTTACTTCAAAGTTTCTATCTGTAAAATTAGAACAAAGAGCCATTTGGAAAGTAATGATAGACTGGAGAGCTGTAATATGTAGGGAGGAAGAATTTTCCCTTGGTAATCTGTACGCTGCCTGTTGTTTTTCCATGTTCTAAGAAAGAAAATATTACTGATTATATTGCTTTATATACTAATAACTGATTTTATAAATTAAAACAAAGGATGTAGTGATTTATTGCTTTATTCAGTAAGCATTCACATAGGGAATAGCTTATAAGATTCTCAAGTAAATTTTGAGTTGAAAGATGAATTATTACTGAATAAAAAAATAAGGCAGAGAAAAATTCATGTTCTAGCAATAGCTAAGAATTAAACGTTTTAAAATATTGATAATTCTGACAGATTTGAATGCTTAAAGTGTTATCTGTAGGACTTTAACTGGTGTAAACAAATGACTTTTCAAAATTAATCCTCTTTTCCTCCAGCCACCAATTTAGTTTACTCTCTATATCTAAGTTAATTCTAATGAACTATAATAATAATGATCTGGTTGTAAGAAATAAATTTATTTTGTTCATGTTTGAGTAAAAAACCTATAACAATGTCAACATTTCTATTGTATTTAACTTGATTTTCTTCCTCAGCTATATGGAACAGTCCCCCACCCCAGCCCCAAAAAAAGACTTCAATGGAAAATTCTTACTGCCTTCCTGCTCTTTTGGTACAAGAATCTAGTCAGACTTTTCCATGCCCATATATTTATGCGATCCAGTTCTAACATAAAGATCAACACTTTTTTTTTTAAAGATTTATTTATTTATGCATACAAGAGCTGGAGTACAGGCCAGAGATGCGGGGGGTGAGAGGATTCACCAGAGACAGAGTGGGAAACAGAGCAAGCAGATTGACCGAAGTACACTGCTGAGGAGAGCACCGGGCGAGTCAGGAGAGGTCTGCTGCGCCATGTGGGTTGCTCCCTGGCCGGCCTGGGATCGAACTCGTGCTGCAGAGGCCGTGGATTGCCTCATAGTGCAGTGCTTAACCCCTTGTGCCACCAGGGAGGCCCCAAGATCAACACTTTTGACTTGAAGAAGATATATCTATAAATTTTACTAAGATTCTAGGAAAGCCCCTTTATATTTATAACAGAAATTTTTTTTCTTTTATTATGTCGTTAACTCCTAATTTGTGATTGTCCATATGATCCTAGTTATATTACCATTTCATTATTTAATCTTACTTCTTCTGAAGTAACTTAAAAACAACTATTGAGTTTCAGTCATGAATTGGAAGGTATATCTATTTTATTTTTGAATTTTCTTATCTTAGGATCCCAAGGAGAGTCACCCAATTCAGTAAAATCTTCAGTCTCTTCAAGACTGTCTGATGAAAATGTGACAAAGTTGGACCACAGTACAACTACAGATAAACAAATACCCAAGAGAAAAATTGTTAAGCAAGGAAACACAACTTTGCCTAAGGTTAATGCAAAAATAGTTACAATGCCTAAAAATCTAAATCAGTCTAAGAAAGGTGACACTTTGAATAATAAAGATTCAAAACAGAGGATGCCTCCTGGACAGGTTATAATGAAGACTCAGACTTCTTCTCAAAGACCTTTAAAAAATGAAACATCTGTTGTCCAAAAAAGTATGCTTCAAGATCTATGTGATAATAATAATAAGGGTAATATTTTGGAACAGAAGCCTCTTGAACCTCTAATTAATTTCACATCCAAAATCAGTGGTACAGAAGCCTTGCAGTCATCATGTAAACCTAAACCACAAAAGCCATTAAACAATCACGAAAAAGAGAAATTGGTATTTGAATGTCAAAATATGTCAAATCTGGATAAAGCAATGAAAGATGAACTGGAAGCAAAACATATTTGTTCAAATAAAAGTAAACCAAAAATTTCCAGTCACAAAGAAACAGATAATTGCAACACAGCTAAAGCACATGCTGATGGGCGTGATAATGTAGATTCAAAATTTTATAGCTCCACTGCCCTAAAATCTATAGTTTTAAATCCAAATGAAAACTCCTTGAACTCTAATCAACTTTATGATTTAGATTCAACAGATGCAGGGCAAATCCATTCAATTTCAGCTAGGGAAAAACAAGTAGGGAGGGAAGATACAATTAAAACATCAAGTATTAAATGTGTGAAAGATGTTTTACCGTATGCTCCTGAAAGGACAAACACTGTGTTAAATTCTGTGCATGATGACAGAAAAACTGTAATTCATTTAGAAAAACACAAAATTCCTAGTGAGTTGTCTGATGACTCTGTTATGAAGGAAGACAAACATATGACAGCAGACTCAGATACATCCTCCAAGTGTTTTTTGGAACAGATAGCAGGAAAAAATTCTCCTAAGGAGATGGAAACAACAGAAACTCCAGAGAACCACAACACTCCAGAAGCGCCATTCATGAGTCACTGGAATTTGAGCACCAGTGTTCTGCACCAGAGAGAGAGTCCAGAGTCTGACACTGGCAGTGCTACCACATCCTCTGATGACATAAAGCCCCGATCTGAAGACTATGATGCTGGAGGATCTCAGGATGATGATGGGTCCAATGACAGAGGTATTTCTAAGTGTGGCACAATGCTATGCCATGACTTTCTTGGAAGAAGTAGCAGTGACACCAGTACTCCTGAAGAATTAAAAATATATGATAGTAATTTGAGAATTGAAGTCAAAATGAAAAAGCAAAGCAGTGGTGATGTTTTCCAAGTTAATTCGACAAGCGATGATGATGTTCCTAGAAAAAAAACAGAAATTTGGTCTCGATCTACAATAGTCCACCCTAGGGATAAAGAAAATATTCCACGAGGGAGTGTCCATTTTGCTCAGGAAATAGATCAAGTTTCTTCCTCAGCAGATGAAACAGAAGATGAAAGGTCTGAAGCTGAAAATGTCACAGAGCATTTCTCTGCATCTAACCCAGCTCCTCAGCAGTTTCAAGGAATAATTAATTTAGCTTTTGAAGATGCAGCTGAAAATGAAAGTCGTGAATTTTCTGCAACTAAAAAATTTAAAAGGTCAGTTTTACTTTCAGTAGATGAGTGTGAGGAGCTAGGATCTGATGAAGGAGAAGTCCACACTCCAATTCGGCCTTCTATAGATTGTCTTTCACCTTCTGATGTTTTTGATGGCATTTTCCACGAGCAACGTGGAAGGACCTGCTATTCCAGATACTCACAAGGAAGTGAAGGTAGTACCTTAGAACATAAACAAGATAAAGGCAATAGTGTATATAAAAATGAAAGCTCACTCTTGAGTCTGGGTAACATTGACACTTCAAGAAAAGATAAGCAGAGTACTTCAGCTACAGAAACAAAGAACACGCTAGATACCCTGTCCAAAGGAGACAGACAGTTTCTACCAGAAGACAAAAAAGTAAACAGCGGAAGTGAAGTGGATAATGACTTTCAGCAACGCAGCAAACTCTCCGATAATGATATAAAGTCTCAAGAAAGACCATGTCATTTGGCGCTTCATCACAGAGACCCCAATTCTGACATACCAAAGAACAACTCTTCAAAGTCTCTGGACTCCTGTCGGAGTCAAGTTCTGCCTCAGGAAGGTCAAGTGAAAGAGAGCCATTCCACAGCTACCGAAAAAGCTAATATTGCTTTATCTGCAGGTAATGTACAGAAATAGAAATGCTAAATCCATAAGAAAATGAATTTATAGAATTTTAAAGTTGTATGTAGCCCTGAATGTTATATTTTAGTTAGAAAGGATAAACAAAGGATTCAAATTTTAAATGAAAATATCAATGTCTTAATAATGATGAAAATTAGCTAGTTATTCTTTGTTGTTCACTGAAAATCCTAGTGAAGAATTAATATCTAGTAAAATTTTTGGCTAATCCACTAAGAGATTTTTACATGAAAGAAAAATTTAGTTTACTATTATTTAGTTATTTATGTCTGATTTAACATAGGAATTATTGGCTATTAGAAATTTTGTTACACATTGCATATGACTTATGGACTATGCTAGCATATATTTAAGAGGGCTGTGCAATAACTATAGTAATATTAACTAAAAGCACTGAACTATTTTAGCTAGATTAATTATTACAATGTATACACATTTTACAGAGATTGAGACTTTCCAAATCACTGTAATTCTATTCTAAAATTTTCAATTAAAAAAGATAAATTTCCTAAAAGAGATTATATCTAGAAGCATTGACAATATATGAAAAAAAAAAGTCCAGGCTTATTTCATATGTTTAGATGACCTTCTGTCCAATTGTTTTGTGTGTTTGTCTTCTTTATTATAGTAATTTGAACTAATGACCACATTAAAATATGCAATAGTAGCTGACTGAGTAGCCATCATATATCAGAACTAAGGAAAGGACTGGTTGGGCAAGAATAGGGAGCTCTTTAAAGTTGTACTTTTTTTTTGTCCTTGCTTGCATCCTCCTTTGCATGTGCAATATAAAAATAAGCCTTTAGAATAAATGTATTTATTCCCGTTTTGGAACTGACTTAATTTAAGTCACCATCAAATAACCATGTCCTTTTTTTTCTCTTTAAGTTTCTCTTGTAGTGAATTAGATATATGTGCACATTCTATGTTCATGTTCAAATAATTTCTGTTGTTTTCTGTATCACAAATTTTCAAATTCAATTATATAGAATTGTTAGTTGCCTGTGTTGATTTTGCTGCTAAACATTACGCTTAAGTTTTTTTAAGATACAAAAAAATGCCTCAGAGATCTCATCGATTTTGTATAAGTATTATTTTTCCCATTCTATGTGTTTTTTTTTAAACTATAACTGAAATATTGTATTAATATTGTTCTACAAAACTCTGAGGGGTGCCAACATGTGCAATTTTTACATTGTGTAGTATTATGAATTATTTCAGGAGACATAGATGATTGTGACTCACTGGCACAAACCTACATGTATGACCATCGACCTTCAAAAACCCTTTCTCCAATATATGAGATGGATGTAATAGAAGCATTTGAGCAGAAAATGGAATCAGAAACACATGTTATGGACATGGATTGTGAAGACGATCAGCACTTTGCAAAACAAGATTGGACGCTATTAAAGCAACTGCTCTCTGAACAGGATTCAAACTTAAATATTACAAATTCTGTTCCTGAAGACTTAAATTTAGCACAGTATCTAATCAATCAGACGCTACTTTTAGCACGCGACAGCTCAAAACCTCAGGGTAAAGCACATGTTGACACTTTGACCAGATGGAGTGAACTAACATCTCCACTTGATAATTCCTCCGCAAGCATCACAATGGCTAGTTTTTCCTCTGAAGATTGTTCACCCCAAGGGGAATGGACAATTCTGGAACTCGAAACTCAGCATTAAGAGTATTAACATTTTAGAAAATTTTAAACTATGCCTTCCCCCCACTTTTTGTTTATGTTTATATTATATGCAAATAACGATTACATTAGCCAGAGATTGACTGTCCTTAATATTGAAGGAGTCTTTCCAATCTATGGAGGTAAACTTACATTAGTTAACATGATCTCACCTGTAGAAAACAAATGTTTCTCTAAAAATTTTGAGCATGTTTCTATAATTATTAGAGAAATTAGAAGAGGTGTAAGGAAAACCTTGCTTCAATTTTCCTTTCCTAACTGATCTTTTGTTCACTTGTTCATCATTCAAGAATTTACAATGTGAATGCACAAACAGATCGGTCCCTTTACTTTTTTGCTCTGCATATGGTAAATTGGTAATTCAACAATAAAAAAGTATCGTGCTTGTGTGCTTTATGTAGAGTTTATCTGTGAGTAACATTCAGATTCAGGTTGATATGGTTGATAGCTGAGTATCAATAAAAATCTTAATTTCCCCAACAATTGAGGTCTGGGAAATAGTGAAGTAAATACATTCTCCAATTTCAATCTTATTGTTACTAAAACAGAAATGGAATCCTCTGTAACTCTCCTTCTGGGATATAGCCAGAGAGGGAAGTCTGCCTTTGTTCAAAAGAATGGGGAAGCTGTCTATCTTTAATCTATATGGACTCCCTTTTTTATGGTTACTTAGAACTCTCCAGTTTCCATTCCATATCAGAGATATTTTAGAACTGCACCTGCAGTAAGCCTGCACTAAATATTAACTTGAAAATGGGTATATGAGGTAATTGAGTTACCGAGTGAAACTGCATGTGTGTGAGCATGGGCACACACACATGTGTATGTCTTATGCATTGTCTAGTTACCTACTTCTTTATTTCCTTGATCAGATTGCCTTTTTATTTGTAATGTTGGTAGCAAGGCAAAGATAAAATCTTTTTTTAAAAAGGCTACTGAGGAGCAAACTTTTAGGTCCAATATTGATGTGGATGTTTTCTCTAGGGTAATGAGATTTAGTAGAATCAATCTCTTTTAAGCTTTGTAATGCATAATTTCTCTAAAATATGTCAGAAGTGAGGAAACATTTTGGTTTAAAAGTACTTTTCTAAATTAAAATTGTCAATAAATGATCAACAATAAGGATCCTGTATATTAAATATCAATAATCATATTAATGCATAATCACTTGTTCTTATATATTAATTTAACTATGTAAAATTAGCTACTAGCCTGTTACTATAATATCATTTAGTTGCTATGCCTTTTTTAAAATAGAAGCTCTACAAGAAGCACTCATTCAGTCAGTCATACTGGTTCTGGGTGCTGTAGTACAAAAATAAGGTTTGAGTTCTTCCTCCTTCCTCAAAAAAAGTTGTTTCTGCTGAGAGGGGAAAACATGTAAGAAAAGAGTTAAAATACAGTATTAGAAGAACTTTGTATTTTTTAATTTTTATTTATTTTAATACTTTTAAATGTAATGATTAGTCTAATCCCTTAAAATGTCAAGGATTGAAGTTCACATGAGTCAAAAGATTGCACAAGAGCCCATTAACTAATTTGTGGACTAGAATCCAATATTCCTTAATTTCAGTTTGATGTTATTTCTGCCACACAACACAGGTCATTTGATTTTTTATCATAAAACCTGAGAACAAATACTAAATTTAGAGATAAATTTGTGGTGTAAAGAAGTATGATAGAGGGCCTCCCTGGTGGCGCAAGGGGTTAATATGCAACCTATGAAGCTATCAGCACCCTCTGCAGCACGAGTTTCATCCCCCTGCCGCCAGGGAGCTACCCACATGGTGCAGCAGACCTCTCCTGACTCACCCGCTGCTCCCCTCAGCAGTGTACTTTGGTCAGTCTGCCTGTTCTGTTCCCCACTCTGTCTCTGGTGAATCCTCTCACCCCCCACACCTCTGGCCTGTACCCCAGTTCTTGTATGCATAAATAAATAAATCTTTTTTAAAAAAAGAAGTATGATAGAGTCAGAAACAGCACCAAGTCCCAAGAGATTGTGGATATTGTGTTATTTTTTTCTCCAAATGTGAAATTGTTTTGTTACTTTTAATAAACTACCTCAGAAGCTCACAAATTTATAACTGAAACTTCATTTCTTTCCCAGCTTCAAGGTCCTGAAAACTTTCTTCTTAAATCATTAGACATTTAAAATCTATTTAATTTCATGTCACATCTGCAATAGATAATAAGGGAGATATTTTGCTTAAGTAGTGACCTCTTAGGTAATTTCAGTTCTTGTATGTTTTCTTATCACGCTCTTTTGTGAATGACACATCTACCAGTCTTTACTATGGGACTACTTGGGCTATCACTTCACCATTCACCAAACATATATTGATTAATAATTGCTTACATTTATTCAGCACTTTTTATATGTTAAGACCCTGTGCTAAGTGCTTTAAATATGCATTAACAATATTCTCACAACTGTTCTATGACATATGTCTTCTTTATTTTGTGCATGAAGAAACTGATGTAAACTTCTTACCCTAAATGAGCTACTGCAGTGGAAGAAACTAAAAAAGAAAATAACACTATGCTACTGTTTGGTAAGATAACCATTGTTTAAGATCAGAGATATGGGAGCTGAAAGGGAGAAGCTACAGCTTGTCAAGAAGAAAAGATTAGGGCCTCCCTTGGTGGCGCAGGCAGTTGAGCGCTGCACAGTGAAGCTGCCTGCAGCCTCCGCAGCGCGGGTTAGATCCTGTCCTGTGGGCGAGAATCCCACATGGCTCGGCAGACCTCCCCTGTCTCGCCCACTGCTCCCCTCAGCAGTGTATTTCAGTCAGTCTGCCTGTTCTGTTCCCTGCTCTGTCTCTGGTGAATCCTCTCACCCTCCTGCATATCTGGCCTGTACCCCAGTTCTTGTATGCATGACTAAATAAATCTTAAAAAAAAGAAAAAGAGAAGATTAGAGAAGGCTTCTTAGGGCAAGCAACATTCAGTGACTGCTTCAGAATTTCTTTAAAGAAGGCATTAGTGGGAGGCCCTCCCCGGTGGTGCAGCAGTTGAGCACTGGGAGGGTTCCACATGGTACACAGACCTCTCCTGCCACGCCCGCTGCTCCCCTCAGCAGTGTACTTCATCAGTCTGCCTGTTCTGCTCCCCACTCTGGCTCTGGTGAATACTCTCACCCTCCCACGCTTCTGACTGTACCCAGTGCTTGTATAAATAAATAAATCTTTAAAAAAAAAAGGGATTAGTGGGGGTCCTCCCTGGTGGCCTACCGGTTAAGTTTCATTGCTATCATTGCTATGGCCTGAGTTCAATCCCCGGCTACAGTGGTGACCCACATGGCGCAGCAGACCTCTCCTGTCTCGTCCGTTGCTCCCCTCAGCAGTGTATTTCAGTCAGTCTGCCTGTTCTGTTCCCTGCTCTGTCTCTGATGAATCCTCTCACCCTCCCATGCATCTGGCCTGTACCCCAGTTCTTGTATGCATGACTAAATATATCTTAAAAAAAAAAAAAGATTAGAGAAAGCTTCTTAGGGCAAGCAACATTCTGTGACTGCTTCAGAATTTCTTTAAAGAAGGGACTAGTGGGGGGCCTCCCTGGTGACCTACCGGTTAAGTGTCAGTGCTATCACTGCTATGGCCTAAGTTCAATCCCTGGCCAGGGAGGTGACCCATGGCGCAGCAGACCTCTCCTGTCTCGCCCGCTGTTCTCCTCAGCGGTGTATTTCAGTCAGTCTGCCTGTTCTGTTCCCTGCTCTGTCTCTGGTGAATCCTCTCACCCCCCACACCTCTGGTCTACACCCCAGATCTTGTATGCATAAATGAAAATAAATCTTTAAGAAAATAAATAAGGTAGTAGTGGCTGCAACCTCATTGGACATGTAGGCTAGGAGACTTGTCTTGAAGATGCACTTACCTAGAAAATACTTTGTTTTTACTTAGATCATTTGTTATAGATTAACAAAAATAAATGTGTTTAAAAGGTGTTTTTATACATAGTTTACATGAAATTGCAAAAAACCAACCATTTGTGCCAAAAGAGCTCTTGGAATTTTTGTTTTGATTCCTGTTGCTTGGAAAGGATTCATCTGACATTGACTTTCAAGGATGAGTAGACCTTTGCTTGATGATGGGGCATTCTTCTAACACATTAGCATATTAAAGTTGGTGACCAGGATGTGCATTGAGGATGGGGAGAAAGAATGGTAAAAGATAAGGCTAAAGAGCTGAATTCTGACAGGCTTTAAATATTATGTTTATGTGTTTAAATAGTCAACACCCCAGGACTTGGTAAGCATTATGTCTCCCTCCACTATTTGTTCATTTATTTTTATCTTTTCTGAAGTGGATAATCTGTTTTTATTTACTTGGGAAATAATGACTTAAAACTTCACAATGGATCGTTATCAAAGTTGCTTTTTAAGTACTAAAGTAACATAAAAGGTGTCTTTTAGAAAAGTAACTGTCAGCAGTAATAAGGAGGACCTGCTTTGGAGAATTGCCTAAATATCAGAATGTAATTAGAATAATTTTATCAACTTTAGAAATGGGAATAGAAGAGGATTTGGTATCAGATATTAGATAAACTGAGATTATAGAAGTTGATGAATGATTAGTTTGTGGAAGAAGACAGGAAGAAATTTTTCAACTTATCAAAAATACCAATTCCACACATATTTGAGAGTCAAGTATAGTCCCAGAACTATGTTAGTACTGCAGTTAAAAAGGTAAGTGGCATAGTATCTGTCTTTGGGTGTTATAGTCTAGTGAGGGGATATTGTTACACAAAAATTGCAAAATTTTGATGTTAAATGTCATAATAAGGTATAATCGGTGTATAAAGAAAAAGGAAGCAATGGAATGATCCTTGGATAGGAATCATAAAACAAAGGAAGAGGCATACTCTTGGCAGAAAAAGTTTACAGGCAATGGGATATTCTGGTTGTTCCATATGACTAGATAGGAGATGGGTAGAAATGGAAAGACGAGATAAAGTTGGGCAGGGACACAGAATCTAGACAATAACATGATCAGATTCGTAAGACCTAAACTGCATTTTAGAGAGATGACTCTGGAAGTAGTACGGAGGATGGAATGGAGGATGCTAATGAAATTAAGACTAGTGACAAGTGTTACAATAAAAACTTGAGCTAGAGCAGTGGTTGTGGAAATAGCAAAGAATGAGCACATTTGAGAGATTTAAAAGGTGGAATTGAAGAACTTAATGACTGATGTGGGGAATGCGAAGAGGGAATCACCTTAAAATACTCAGGTTTCTGAGTTACGTACCTGAGTGGGTGGTCAGTGATTCATCAATCAAAAATTGAAGAAATCTTAGAGTCAGGAGAACTTTAATTTAATTAGGTCATAAGTTTGAGATGCCTATGGGACATTCAAGGGAATGAGGACAAAGTGCTGTGGAATAATAGAAAAAAAAAAAAAAACCTCAAGAAGGGATCTGTGAAGGATTATCAGAGGTAAGAGAATTAGGAGGCCAAGGTGAGTAGAATGACTATAATCTCACTAATTAGAGAAGAGCAAATAAACACTGTAAGATTTTCCACCTATCAAATTGCAATGATTTTTTTAATGCTTTTGTTTTGTTTTGTTTTGTTTTGTTCAATGTTAGCCAGAGAATGATAAGAGGGATTCTCAAATATTGCTATGGGAGTGCAAATTACCTTTCCAGTAAGTAACTAGACAATCTGTTGATATGATATAACAAGAGTATTTATGCTTTCCTTCCACAACCTGGCCCTTTCACCCCTTGGATCTAACATTAAGAAATAACCTCTGACAAATATTTTTCTGTAAAAATGATTTTTGGAGATCCAGATATATTTAGTGAAAATTTGAAATTAGTTAAATGTCAACAGCAGAAAAGCTAAATAAACTGTGGAGTACTTCTATATAACAGTGATATGCAGTGATTAAAATTACTTCAAAAAAATCTGCTTAATGCTAAGGAAGGTGCTTGTAAGATAAGAAATTCAGAATATACATTTATTAATCTATATTACTGAGTTTTCTATGCTTACAGGTACCTAGAAAAAGAAAGGAAAACATTTCAATGGTGTTACACGTAAGTAGTGCTCATTTTTATCTTTTAACTCATATTTCCATGCTTTCTGCAAATCACAGAAAAATAGGTGGATTGGTTTGTTTTTAGGTAAGCAGTGATTAATAGTATCAATTGCTGCTTGAGATATCAGTAAGATACATATTTGGAATAGAACACTGGATTTAGACATAAGGACTTTATTGGTAGTTATTGTCAATTTTCTTTTTTCTAGCAGTGGCTAAGTGCTACTAGACTACAGTGGGTTGAAAAGTGAGCAGGAAGTAAAGAACTTAGTCCTTAAAAAAGTGTGACTGAAAAGAGGGGGTAGTCACTTGAAGATACTGCTTTAAAAATAAAAGTAACTAAGACACTTTGAAAATAAGTTAGAAATAAACAATGGATCAGGGATCATGAAGGAATAGGCAGAAGGAGGTAAATCAATCACAAAGAATACTAACTGAATCAGGATTGTTCAGGTCTTTAATGTAACTCAAGCACCAAATGCCTTGGGAGATAAAGCTGGAACAGTGCAGGCAGGCCAGGCTGTGAAGAAGCCTGTCAGCTGTGCCAAAAATCTCAGCATAACATTTAGGCAAAGCATCTTGGAAATTTTTAAAAATCAAAGGTAAACAGGACTGTTACTAAGATTACCCTTGCTGATTGGTATGAAAAATATCTTAAAAAAGAGCTAGCATAAAGGCCTCTATGGGAATCATTGGAGTAGCAAGGATAGGAAGTAATAGTAAGGCTAGAGTGCCTCCCTGGTAGCCTAGGGGTTAAGTGTCAACTCTATCACTGCAACAGCCTGAGTTCCATGCGATCCCAGGCCAGGGAGCTAACACACTTATGGTGCTACCGACCTCTCCCATCTTGTCAGCTACTCTCCTTGGCAGTATATTTCAGTAGATTTGCCTTTCTGCTCCCCACCCTATCTGATGAACTCTCTCACCACCACCCCTCCACAATCCCCTCCCCCTAGCACCTCTAGCCTACATCCCAGTTTTTCTACACAAAAATAAATAAATAAATAATAAAATCTTTTTAAAAATAGAGCTGTTTTAGAGTTGA